AAGGGGTTCATTATCAACGTCTTGAGTCATCCGCACATGATACATGTGCGGATGATGTCCAGGGCATGAGGTGCCATCATACTTCTCGAATTCCGCATCTTGAACTTTTCTCGGTACTTTGACCCGTTTGTATATAGACAGGTCAAGTGGGACAAATTTTGCGGGCCTTGTAGTGCTTTCAAGATCTCTTCGACCTTTGCAAGGCGTTTGTCCCGTTCATCATTGGTACGCCTTCAAATTCAGTGCTTCTTGACAAAGAAGGGGAAGCGGATCGTCCTCCAAAAGGCATTTTATCACACGGTAGAGGCTTTGTCTTTTCCAAGAGACGGTGGTGGTAACACCACTTCAACTTCACGCAGCGTAGGTGTGAGCTTGCCATGAATGGATTCCACCCGCTTTGTGAGATTTTGGATCGCATTGATGACCATTTTCATCTCATCTTCCATGTTATTGAGGCGGACATTTTCTTCGGCCATTTTTTGTAACTACCTGCAAAACGCTAATATGAATGAGTATAATGCTCAATAAAGAATCATTCTATGACTTAGTCATATTATTATTGCGTATTTTCTTTATTTGCAAAGAAAAATAAGCAAAAGGGTTTTTATTAATATTAACATTACAGGCGGCGTCCCCGGGTTCGAACCCGGTCGCCTCGGACCGTGGATCGCCATCCCCGGATACCACCGGGCCGAAGGCCGCGATGGTGTCATTCAGGGGCAAAAATTTTATTTAAAGCATAAAAAACGGCCCGAGTTATATTAACATTTGTACAACCCAAAAACATTTTTACAGGAGATAACCAAAATCCCTGAACATAATTACTAGGAAATATAAAAGACAGAGGCTTTTAACAAAAGGGTGCCCTTCCCGGATACTCATTTTATAAACGATGGGGAAATCACGGTCTCTCGGAGGCGCTTATTTTTACGGACAAGCTCCGCAATAAGCGTATCCCGGTATATAGATCGCAATCAACGGGTGGCCTAACAAGAACAAATCAATTGAATAAGTAGGCCATATATATATATAAAAAATGAGAAGGGATAGAATATATACCTTTCCTTGAACCATGGCAATCGCAACAACATGCACATGAGAAGTGAGGTTCGATTTCTATCTAGACGGCTCAAGAACATGAATTTAAAAGGGTGCCCGACCGTCGCAGCCTCGCGTTGGTGTCAAGTCCTTTTAACCTCGGCCAAATCGAAAGGAATATCTTATAGTCACGCGAATAGCGGCTAAAGATACTTCTTTACGATTTTTAGAAATAAATTTCGGGAAAAGAAAGGCAACCTCTACATCGCGGACTCGCGTTCGAGGTCGTATCTTTCTTAACACCATCCTAAGATGCCCTATCGCGGCCCAGTCCGCAGGCGTGGTTGTGTGTGCAACGGTGTAGTGCTAAATCATTAAAGCATGCACAACAAATTATAAACAATCAATTCGAACCCAAGACAAATAACACCTTAATGTCAGGATCATACCTGAAGTCCTTGCTGTCAAACAAAAATTATTTTGAACAGGATAAAAATTTTGGCTTAAGTCCACTTTGAAAAAAAAAAAAAAAAACAAGTCCCCAGCGGAGTCGCCAGTCTGTCGCGACCGAACTCCCGAGCCCTTTTTAAACAACATGCAAAAAAAAGGGGGGGCTCGCCTGGTACGTGCTAAGTCTAGGTTCGGGACTTAACTCGGGCTCTCCCAAGCCCATACCATATCGCGACTTAGGGTTTAAGTGTTTAACATGCAAGTGGTTTATATCAAGGAGTCGCCACTAATCGATTTGGGGTGGGTCGATTAGAAACCCAAATAGGGTGATGGGAGAATCACCCTATTCCTACGAACCGAGATTAAATGAGTTCGGGGACTTGGTTACACTAGTTGGATAACTAATGCCCTTTCGTACCATTTTACCCTGTTCATTTCAAAACATTTGTCGAGCAATTTGGATTGATTTTAGGACCTTTCTCCTAATATGTGAGGTGATCAAACGAGTGCACAATCGGGAACGATTAGCGATCGGAACACAAGAATTCATGCAGCCTAAGGTTCTAACCCTAACTAAGTCGGATGACATTCAAAAACACAACATTCATGCAATTGTATTAAAAACATGCATAACAATACAACGATAATAAACATAACATGCAAAATATTACCGCGCAATCTCAAGTTTGTCTAATTTAAACAAGACAAAAATATGCATAATAATATCACATTAGATTAAACATTTAGAATATATCAATCAAAATTTTTTAAAAAAAATTTTTTTTTTTAAAAATTTTTTTTTTTTTTTCGAAAAAATTCGAAAAAATAAAAAAAAAATAATAATAATAATACAAAAGAAAAGAAAAAGAAAAAAAAATAATAATAATAATTTTTTTTTTAAAATTTTTAAATTTTTTTTTAAATTTTTTTTTTTAAAAAAATAAAATAAAATAATAATATAATATTAACCTGTCGGGCGGATCCGGGTCGAACCGACCCGGGTCAACGGATCCGACCGGGCGTTGACCCGGGTCGGATCGGTCACTCGGATCGGGTCTGAACCGACCCGGGTCAACGGATCCGACACCTGGCGTTGACCCGGCCTGACGGTCTGATCGGATCGGGTCGGAACAGACCGGGTCAACGGATCCGACCGGTCGTTGACCCGGTCAACGGATCCACCCGGCCGTTGACCGGTCGGAATCGAGATCCGGCCGGTCGGAACCGACCCGAGTCAACTGATCCGACCCGGGCGTTGATTGGCTCGGATCTCGTTGATTCGGGTCGAATCCGACCCGAACAAACAGATCCGCGGGGAGGGGGGCGCCGGCGAACCAAAATTGGCCGTCCGCCGCCGACCCCAAGCCGTTGCCGCCCTAGTCGCCGACTGTGACCGCCTCGGCCGTGCCACTCTTTCACCTGAACCGCCGTCGGACCACCGGTTCGCCGGCCGGCGATGGAACAAAAACCGCGTGGTTGAGGCATTTCGTCGAACGCTTGGCGGCGCGTGGAAAACGGGGATTCGACCTCCTCGGCGATCCTGGCCGCTCCAAGCTCAGGTTAACGGTCTGAGCGGTGAGCCTGTGACCGGACCGACAGCTTCGGTATGGGCCGGATTCGAGAGCGAAACGGCCGGGCAGCGAGTCCCGCCAAACCGAGGCAAAACAAAAAACAGGGGAAAACGTGGAGCTTCTCGGCCTGTGGGCTCACCCATTCGACGGCCGAGCCTTGCCGGGATGGCCCCCGCGGAGTCTCGGGGCGTCGACGACCGCCGCCGGTTCTTCTTTAGCTCCGCGTGGCCTCGGTTTCCTCTCTCTCTCTATTCTCTCTCCGTGTTCTCTCTCTCGCCTCTCTCTCGTGTTTCGCCGACCGGGGCTCTCTCTCTCTCACTGTGTCACACTGCTCGGCCCTACAGGCCGGGATGGATGATCGAGCGCGGATGCGTAAGCACTGCGGTCGCCGAAGAGCTCTCTCTGTCTTGCTCCGCCCTCCGTCTCCGCTTTTTCCGAAAGTGGCCGCTGACCTCTCTCTCTCTCTCGGCTATTTATAGCCGACGACGAACCCGTGCCTCCGCCGGCGTGACGATGGCCTCGCACCGCCTACCCGCCCCGCGACTTTCAAGCGGCCATAGCGGCAGCTACAGAGCAGAGCGCGAGAGGGAACAGGAGGAGGAGGATAGGAGGAGGATAAGGGAGAAGGGGAATGGGAGGACGGGACCGGCCATTAATGCCGATCCGTTGGCGTGCTCATCCGGCTCTCCTCAGCCGGGGCGACGGCGAGAAGCGGCGCCGCCGTGCGTCACGCCTCCGTCGCTGAGCAGGAAGAACAGGGCGAGGAGAGCGACCGCGCAGGGGAAGAGAAGGAAAGGAAGGCTGGGCGAGGGCCGGCCCACCCGGGGGAGGAGAGAAAAAAGAAAAGGAAGTGGGCCGCCCGCGAAAAGGAAAAAAGAAAAAGGAAAAGGGCGGGCCAGGAAAAAAAAAAAAAAAAAAAAGAAATGGGCGGGTCGGCTCGACTCATTCGGCCCGACTCGATTTTTTTTTTTTTTTTTTTAAATTTTTGTTTAAAATTTAAGAAAATATGCTCTAATAGGCCCTATTAATTCACATATGCCTAATGTCTATATGCAATGCATTTAAATAGAAATATTTTTTTGTTTTAGGAATTAAAGAAAATTAATTCCTAAATTTTGTGCAATTAATTTTGGGCAAATTAAAAATAGGTGTCAACAATAACAAAGTTCCATTTTCAAATGCAATTCTTTTATAGAAGCACACAATTAGAATAGCTATATCTTCATCTTGCAAATTTTATCCATTTACAATACAATTAACGTAAACTCATGATAACAATACTTTGAATATAATCGTAATAATATCGAATTTCTTTGAGCACTTTTTTAAAGAAAATGACAAACATACATCCGTTCATATCACTTACCGTTTTAATTTCCATCTGTTATATCATTAATCGAGCTACATACAACTTTTCACTTTTCAAAAAATGTTCTAAATTGAACAAACCCAATATATGATATTGGACAAATGAAATGAATTTACTAAAGCTCTCTATGTTGCAATGGCAAATTCGAAATTATGGTGGGACAAGATTAGGTTTGATTAGTTGTGTATGGTTGCTCCACAACCACACGCACTCTCAAATTTCGCAATCACAAAGGTGATTGGATTTTCCAAGCGTATCCAATACTCTGTCGGATCAAAGATTAATCCAAAGAAAACGCTCCCCAAATCAAGATTAATCGCTAATGGTCTGAATTGAATATGTACAAAAAGTTTGGGATCAAATTGAACAAATTAAAATTTTAGGGACCACATTGCACATTAGGCTAAAGTTTAGAGACTACATTAAATAAATTAAAAATTCAGAGATCAGATTATATAGTAAGTCCTTGTTCAGAGATTATTTGTGTCATTTTCTCGCTAATTAATGAATAGTATTAAAGATAAGCAACGCCCCCCGTACAGTTGAGAAAGCTCAAGAGGCATTTAGATAGAAAACAATGTTGTATCGCAGGTCAATCTGTCCGGGTTCTGTCTGATCAAAGCTCAACCAAGCTCTTCCTCTTCTTCGTCTCCTTTGACAAAAACAACGGACACCCTGTTCTCGCACGCTCCTCTTCTTTCTTGGGTCAGAATTCCCCTCGCCCCTCTTGAGGCTGTGTTCGTCTTCTGGCGGTGGCTCGGGGGCCTGCCCACGTTGATAAGCAATCGTTTTGGCGGCTTCCTTGGAGGTGCGGGATTGCGTGGGATCAGGACAAATTTCGTGGCTTCCTTCCGTTTGACCTCGAGGAGTCAGGTCGAAGTTTCTTGAAATCGTCCGTGCTTGCTCGAGAATGCCGCAGGACGTGTCTTCTGATCACGACCCCGATGACCCAGATGCCGAGTACGTCGAAATTGATCCCACTGGTCGATATGTTCGGGTCTGTATCTCGCCGTAATTGTTTATCTTCTCTGATTTTCAGTTGCGATACCCGTTTTGGGGAGATTTTATTTTCTGATATGATTCATTGGTGATCAAAATGCGTGATTTTTTCATGGCTGATTGCTTGTTGTTTTGATTGAATTTGGAGATGGGATGAATTCGTCCTTCTTATTTTAGTGTTTGACATTGTCTTGTAAAATGGTTTCTTATGGCAGTACAAGGAAGTTCTGGGAAAAGGGGCTTTCAAGAAAGTGTATCCTTTTTCTATTTGCTGCTGCTATCTCTATTTTGTTCTTTAGATAAAAGTTGCTTGGTTTTCTTCTAGTTGAGGTGCATTGTAGAAATTCTTGTTGGCGGATTCGAGTTTATCCTTGACGGCACATGGAAATGTAGATATAGAGCATTTGATGAGTTGGAAGGAATTGAAGTGGCCTGGAATCAGATTAAGGTGACAGATCTCTTGAGAAATTCGGAGGATTTGGAGCGTCTCTATTCTGAGGTTCACCTGCTTAAAACTTTGAAGCACAAGAACATAATCAAATTCTACAGTTCGTGGGTCGATACGAAAAAAGAGAATATTAACTTCATCACCGAGATTTTCACATCAGGAACATTGCGGCAGTAAGTTTTTGTCAATTTAATCCTCCATCAATCAGAGATAGGCTTCTTGGGATAATTAAATGATCATCTTCTCTAGGTACCGGAAGAAGCACAAGCATGTGGATTTAAGGGCGTTGAAGAAATGGTCTAGACAGATTCTTGAGGGGCTGTTGTATTTGCATAGTCACTATCCACCTATTATTCATCGGGATCTGAAGTGTGACAATATTTTCGTTAATGGAAACCAAGGTGAAGTGAAAATTGGTGACTTAGGATTTGCTGCCATTCTGCAACATGCTCATTCGGCTCACAGTGTCATTGGTGAGGACCCTGTTACTTTTTGTGTCTCAAGACTCTAGCAGAGGATATGACACGTGACACAAGTCTCCATGACCCAAGAAAGAATTTCAACGTTTTTGTACTTGCAGGTACCCCAGAGTTTATGGCACCTGAGCTTTATGAGGAGGAATACAATGAGCTTGTGGACATTTATGCATTTGGAATGTGCTTGCTGGAGTTGGTGACCTTTGAGTACCCGTATGTTGAATGCACAAATGCAGCTCAAATATACAAAAAAGTGATATCTGTAAGGCACTAAGTATCTCTTTTTTTTTTTGTCGTTCTTTTTTCCTGCAATATCTCTGTGTGGAGTACTCTGAGCTCTTTGTCTTTGGTAAAACTGACAAATCTCTATGCCATCGATTCACAACTTCTTTTGTGGGAGCGAGTCAAGTCATGGTCAAATGTCAGTGTCCACTTGGTGTTTGTTAGAGTAATTAAATATTAAATCACGTATTCATCTAACAGCTTAAGCTTTAGGGTAGGATTTTCTAACATGGTATCAGAGCCAAGTGCTATCCCTTTCGCGAATGTGCATGGTAAAAATTTCCATGTGAATGTGCATAGTCAAAATTTCACGTGCCGCTCACAATCCGGCTTACACGTGAGTGGGGGCGTGAGTGGGGATGTTGAAGTATTATCCCACATCGATTGACAACGGGTCCTAAATGCTCTTTATATTCATGTGGTCTCTTCTACCTATCAGCATAAGCTTTTAGAACAGTTGGCAGTGATCCCATCAAAATCTCACATGGTATCAAAACTGGAGAACCTGAGTTTGAATCTTTTCAGGTCCCATTTGCCTCCCATTAAATATGTCCACGCCTAGTACTAGGCAAAAATACTAAACTAAGCGTGAAGGGGAGTGTTAGAGTAATTAAATATTAAATCACGCATTCATTTAACAGCTTAAGCTTTTGGGTAGGACTTTCTAACAGTGTTGATTAGGTTCCTTTTGTCTATAGGAGTTGAGGCTTTGGTAGATACCATTGTCAATAGCCATTTGAATTAGGGAACGGGGACTTGGGCACAAGTTAAAGTATTTATAGCCTGATGTCTAAGTCTCTACATAGTGGCTTTGGCGAAAATTTCAGGCACAATGATATTGTAGTCTCTAATACAAAGTTTAATTTGCAATTCGTCAATACGATCATTTTCATATCCTTTGTTTTAGTTGCAAATTATGCAGTGTACATTCAATGAAGTTGCTTATTTCACGTTCAGTCTTCCTGTTCAGACTGTATGTTCTAGTCCTTCCCGTCGCTGAAACCTAAGCAGTGGAAATAATTAAAGGTTTAAAAGTTTTCCTTCCTGGTTGATTGTTAGTTCCATATTGAAACTGAAGATTGTGCTTAAATATGGCAAGAAAAGTATAAAAACTTTGATGTCTAAGGGCCTCTAGTCAAGTTTCAGAGAGTTTTTATTTATTGACTCTTTGTTCCTTGACATCTACATCCGTGCTTCCACTAGTTGTACTGTGGGAGGATATATTTATCTTCGATGACGTTAGGAACAGGAAATTAGGTTATGTTTCTCTATGCAGATTTGCATGTGTTCCCACATAGTCATGCATGCATACATGTATAAATGAGTCACTTTACATATGTCCACTGGTGGCAGTTAATCTGGTTATGTCAGTGGCTAGTATTACACACTGTTGCACTCTTCAGCTCCTTGATCATGTCTGTAATATGTATCCTCATTCTTGGTAGGGAATAAAACCTGCATCACTGGAAAAGGTGAAAGATGATCGAGTCCGAGAATTCATAGAAAAATGCATTGCAAACGTTTCTGAGCGATTGAGTGCCAAGGAACTTTTGATGGATCCTTTTCTACAGTCAGAGGAAGAAAGTGAAAGTGTTGGCAGATCGTTACGTTCACCGAGACATCAAGAAATGGGTAAGTTCTAGAGCCTCCTTACTGGGCTTCTTGGCTTCTGTTCTCATTGTCCTGCCACTTGATGTGCATTTTTTATTAAATACAGGTAGTCCTCATAATGTCGGTGCTGGGAAAGGGGCAAATGTTTCTACGGCAGAGACTAGTATGGACTTTACAGTGCAGGGTCAAAGAAAAGATGTCAACACAATATTTCTGAAATTAAGGATTGCAGATTCTTCAGGTGCGAGCATTTCCTTGCATTTTAGCAGTTCAATGGTTGTCTTACTATGGGTATTTTCATCCCTCTTTGAGATATGTTGATACACTTCCTCAAACTTGCACAGGTCACTTTCGGAATATCCACTTTCCATTTGATATTGAGGTAGATACAGCAATTGCAGTTGCCAGCGAAATGGTCGAGGAACTAGACTTGACTGATCAGGATGTTTCGGTGATTGCTGCGATGATCGATGACGAAATTCGTTCTCATATACCAGGTTGGGCACCACTAGAGCCTTCTGGGGGTGTCTTTAGTGAAGAAGTTCAAAACTCTGATGCCTGGGCCTCAGCATATAGAGATGATACCTCTGCTTCTGAGCCATCTGCTTCTGGTAATCTTTTGTTGGAAAGAACGCATTCTGGTCGGAAGTACTGGGCCGTCTCATCGAAACCAGATGGAATCTCTCCTTTCCGATATGGCCCTTCAAACTTATCCTTTGTGGATTCAGCATCTGTTGAAAGTAGTTTGTTCGAAGAAAACATGCAATCTTCTGTCAGCCACCATGATGGTGAGAGGCCAAATGGCATTCCTGAACTTGAAGAGCCTGAGCATGAATCTGCTTCTGATGGCGGTAGGAGTGTAGATGAAACAGATACTGCATCTACGGGTAGTGCAACCAAAGATCTTCTTGGCGGCAGTGAGTGTGATAACTCACTAGTTGCGGATGGTGTTGGATCTAAAGAGTTAAATTTAATTGCTGATAAGCTCGAGCATCTGCTGATAAAGCAGCAGGAGGAGCTACAGGAGCTAAGGAGGAAGCATGAAGCCGCTATTTCGGATCTTTTGGATGGACTTTCTCCTGAAACCCGTGAAATGGTTCTAAATATCTGTAAGAAGAAAATTCCATGGATTAAAGAGTGAGGCACCCGGCCAACTCAATGATACACATCTTGTTGGATGGGAAACTTTGCTGTCTCGTGACTCTCGTGCATGGGCAATCATGATACGAGAGATGCTGATTAAAGAATGTTCTGCTCAAGAGACTCGGGAATAGAGATAGCCAGTTACGGGTATCTATTCAACCTTCGATGCCGTGATTTCATTAGCTGCTACGAGGACCTGGTTCGATGCGGGAGATGCTCAGTATGACGGTCATAATTTCAGTTTGCATGGCGATTGAATATGAAGTCTGCGTACGCTTGGAGATGAATACATGTTGGTTTTCATTCATTGTTTGTTTATTCTTGATCTGATCTGTCCCTATAATTTGTTGGCTTGTATACATGTACATATGCAAAAAGGTCAATCTCAAGGTTATGTTCTGCTGGATAGTTACAGATAGCACACCATCTGTATTGCTCCAATTTGGTTTCCTGTGGTGGTTCTTATTGAATAACTGGGGTTCTGACCAAGTTTGAGATCTCTAGGATGCCTCGGTTTGGTGCAGAACGCTTCTTGCTTTTTTGAACTCGAATGTACTGATCATTCTTTGGTTACAAAGTCATGTGGCGTGAATGTCAATTGCTGTTTTTAACTCCAAAAAAAAAAAAAATTCCACCTAAAATACCAGCCCATCTACATTTTCTTCCTCGGTAAAAAATCATATTTTATTAATATGTGTGGGGATAATAACACAAATGGTCCTTGAACTTTGGTCCAATATATAATGCAGTTCCTAAACTTTTAATTTGTTCAATGTGAGATCTGAATTTTAGCCCAATGTATTTTTAATTCGTTCAATGTGATCCCTGAACTTTTGGTAAATGCTCAAACTTGTGATTAAATTATATAAAAATATCTGATATAATCCTTCCATTAATATAAGTTCAGAGAAAACATTGAACATATTAGCTTGAACATATACCCAAAGTTCAAAAATCACATTGAACAAGTTAAAAGTTTAGAGGCGATATTGCACATTAGGTAAAAATTCAAGAAGCGCATTAAATAATTAAGAATTTATAGACCAAATTTCATGTTGGGTCAAAATTTAAAAGGTCATTTGCGTTATTTTCCGTACGTGTGAATGTCGGTCGACGACGATCGTTTAGTCTTCGGATCGAGCATGATGGTCTGTCGTCCAATTTGTAGTTAGTGATTATCTTAATTAATTTAATATATATGTGTGTAATGTAATAATGTGAAGCTTGGAGCAAAAGGGAACAGGCTTTTGTTTATTCAAATGTAACTGCTCGTCTCCTTGATTTGTTCATTTCTTTTGAAACTCTCTCTCTCTCTCGCTCTCTGTGTCTGGGGTTTCTGTTCTCTTCCAAAACCCAAAGCCCAAATCGCAATGGCAATGGCTGCGTCTCCTTCTTCCTCGAAACTACTTCCACCGCTCCCACCGCATGCCTCCTCTTCCGCCGCCGCCGCCGCCGCCGCTCTCTCCCCGCCGTCGCCGGAACCGCCGCTTTCCGTGCCAGATTCCGGAAGCCGGCCCACCACCGCCGTCGCGGCCTCCTTCGTCGACCCCTTCGCCATCGACTCCACCACCGCCTCGACCTCCGGCCGCCGCGCCTCCTTCCTAGTGCGCGCCGCGCGGGGGAAGATCGAGCGGAAGAAGCCGCGCGTGAACATCGGGCCGATTGGCCCTGTCGACCGTGGGAAGAGCACCCTGACCGCCGCCCCCCACCATGGTGTTGGCCTCCATGGGAAACAGCGGTACGAAGAGGTACGATGAGATCGATGCTGCTCCTGAGGAGCGCGCTCGAGGTGTCTCTGAACATTTGTTCTGATTCTGTATGTTCTTACTTGTTTAGATACGTTGAATACTTATTTAGGGCAGAGATAGAGTCGTTGTAAGGGGTAGATGAATGAAAATAATACTCTCTTAGGATCAACTCTAACCTAAAAATAGCTATTCCACATGGATACTCTTTTCATTCTGGAAAAACCGAGGCCTGCATTGGAGTCTACAGTGGAATTTCATGATTTATTGATACACAGAGAATCTTGATAAAATGTTCTGCCATTGGCCAAGTCCGCCATGTGGAAACCCTTTATTTTGGAATATCATGTGACAAGTAGGGTATTTAGTTATCGTCATTAACATTAGTAGAATGAATGAGCTAATTACAGCATTATAACGACTAGGCTTAATCTAGACTTTATTGGATACTGAATTTTATGTCTGTTATTGGCTGATTTCACTAGCCAATAGGATCTGTGTGATGACTTTTCGAGAGTGCTGACATTACCTTTTCTTCACCAGGTATCACCATTAATACTGCTATGGTGGTGTATGAGACTGAGAATTGCCACTATGCACATGTTGACTATCCAGGACATGCCGAGTATGTGAAGAACATGATAACTGGTGCGGCGCAAATGGATGGTGCTATTCTTGTTGTTTCAGGGGCTGATGGACCTATGCCTCAGACAAAGGAGCATATACTATATTGGCTAAGCAAGTGGGTGTTCCCAATATGGTGGTTTTCCTTAACAAGCAAGACCAGGTTGATGATGAGGATCTTTTACAGCTTGTGGAATTGGAGGTCAGGAAGTTGCTTTCTTCATATGAATTCCCCAGAGATGATGTTCCCATAGTTTCTGGTTTGGCCTTGTTGGCTTTGGAGGCTCTGATGGCTAATCCTACCATGAAACGCAGCGAAAAACTATGGGTTGATAAAATTTATGAACTCATGGACTCTGTGGACAGTTACGTACCTATTCCACAAAGACAAACTGATCTTCCATTTTTACTTGCTGTTGAAGACATGTTCTCAATCACAGGTCTCGGTACCGTTGCCACAGACCGTGTTGAGGGTATAATTAGGGTAGGAGAGACGGTCCATATTGTTGGCTTGAGGGAAACTAGGAACACTACTGTTATGGGGGTTGAAATGTTCCAGAAAACTCTTGATGAGGCGATGGCAGGGGATAATGTGGGTCTTTTGCTCAGAGGTATTCAGAAGGTTGACATTCAGAGAGGGATGGTTTTGGCAAAGGCTGGAACAATTACACCCCATATTAAGTTTGTCGCCTTTGTGTATGTGTTGAAGAAGGAAGAAGGAGGTAGGTATTCACCATTTTTCGCTGGCTATAGGCCCCAATTCTACATGAGAACAACTGATGTCACTGGAAGGGTGGCTTCAATTAGTGATCAAGATGAGGAGTCTAAGATGGTTATGCCTGGTGACCATGTTAAGATGGTGGTTGAGCTCATTATGCCTGTGGCTTGTGAGTGGGGAATGAGGTTTGCTATCAGAGAAGGTGGGAAGACTTTTGGAGCCATTGTTATTCAGTCCATTTTTTAGTAACTGTGACACTGGAAGCATCTGCTTTGGATTCAAAGTGCTTTTAATTTTATGAGTTGTGATGAAAGTCTTGTCTTGTCAACTCCACCCAATCAGTTCGCTCTCTTTCACAAATATGGCGACCATTGATGTAACTGTTTTTTCCCATATTTCTTTTTTGTCATTGATTTGCTCTGCGATGATATATAGTGTAGTTGGACTATACTCTTCTCTAATTTAGATGTAACTTTTCATCATATTTCTCTTAATTCATTTATTACTCAAACAACGTTGGCCGATTATTATTGGAATGTGGGTTTAGCGTCTGTTGAAGGTGGTGATTAGCTGTTTGAGAACTCATTAAACTGAAAGACGAAATGACGTATGAACTTGCTTTATGAACAGAAACAGATGCTGATGTTTTTGCAGACACTGGATCAAGAAGTTAATGTGTGAAACATGACCACATCAACTCTCTGATAATGCTGGGTGGCAGCACTGTTTCAAAAATTGAAGATCTATGAGGTAACAAAATTTACTTCAATTACTTTGTCCATTCTTTTCACTACTTTGGCTGAAATACTTAGAGGTCTCACAGAGCCCTAGAAACATCTTCTGCGAAAAGGTGGGTTTCAAATCCCCACCTCCTGGATGCCATTTGGTGTGTGTGACCACTAGGCTACAATCCTGTGGCTAACTAAGGAGATAAAGTTGAAACTGTGCATAATAACAGATAACAAAAGGCCTTTTTATGTAAAGGAATGGCCAACTTTATCATGCTGATCAAATAATTTTTTTTAGCTGCCAGGAGTAGTTGTGATCGATGGTATCTTAATATGTGGATTTTAGATGCCTATAACTTATGAAAGAGTGCTGACCGGAACAATAAGCCCATCAATGCTGATTAACTGCATATAATCAACTGATACATAGTACAATCATCATTCTCGTAAGAACAATGGCAGACCATGCAGTTCCATTGTACAGATTACTGTTAAGCTTTGGTATTTTCATTATTATCCTATGTTTCTGTTTCTTAGAATATTCTTCTCTCCCCCATGGTTGATGGTTATTTTCTGAAAATTCTTTGCATGCAATAGGGTTAAATTCACGCTATCATGGGGTTATCGTGTGGTTAAAAAATGTTTATAATCTGGGGCCCTTACTATAAAAGTTGGTAATCACATGTAAATATTACAAATTATAGATATATCAATGATTACTTTTTTATTCGGACATATACCAATCACATGAATAATTTATTAACCACATAAATTTTTTGCATTTGATGTTCCCTTAGTTTCGGTTTTGGTCTAGTTGGCTTTAGAGGCTCTGATGGCTAGTCCTCACAGCAAACGAGGCGAGAACCAATGGGAGAATCTTTCATTTTACTTGCCATTAAAGACGCATTCTCAATTACTGGTCATGGCACCATTGCCACAGGCTGTCATAAGAGGGGCTCGATTAGGGCCAGAGAGATCAGGAATGCTGTTGGCTTGAAGGAAACCAGAAACTCTATTGTTACTGGTGTCGAAATGTTCCAAAAAAATCTCAATAAGGCAATGCTGGGGATATTGTGGGTCTTTTGCTTGTAGGTATTCATTAGGTTGACATTCTTAGAGGGATGGTTTTTGAAAATCCAGGACAATTACACCTGCCACTAAATTGTTTGCTACTATGTATGTGTTGAAGAAGAAATAAGGTGGCAGGTATTCACCATTTTTCCACAGGTACAGGCCCTAATCCTACATAAGAGCTACTGATGCCAAAGGAAGCATGATGTCAATCATGATGATAAGGATGAAGAGTCTAAGATGGTTATGCCTTGTGACTGCTAAGATGGTAATTGAGCTCATTATGCCTGTGGTTTGAGTAAGAAATGAGTTTTGCTACCAGAGAAGGTGGGAAAATTGTTTCAGCCGGTGTTCATTCAGTCCATTAGTGAGTAACAGAGACATTGGGAACAGTAATTCGAGCTGCTCTTCATTTTTTGAGATGCGATGAAAATTGTCTCTTACTTGTCAACTCCATCCTTCTGTTCGCTCCTTTTCACAGCTATGTTGAAATCTGATGTATCTTTCTCCTTCTCCTCCTCGTCCTCCTCCTCCTCCTTCTCTCTCTCTCTCTCTCTCTCTCTCTCTCTCTCTCTAATTTGCTTTGCAGTGATCTGTTGATCTATAGTCTAGTTGGACTATGGTCTTCTCATAACTCACATGGACTTGTTCATTAGCTCTCTCTTGATCTGCTTTTCGAGTAATTTTGGCATTGCTTTGGAATTTCTGGAGTGCTTGGGTTTAATATGGTTGTCTAGCTTTTTTTTTTTTTTTTGGATGAAAAGAATATTTATGCGTTCACTAACACAACCCTCATTCGATTATGGCATTGCATTCGCCATTCTCCTTGTCAATAAAGCTGAAGTAGTCATTGATTGATCATCACTAGGAGATTTGTCAATGCATCTCAGTTTTGTTTTACTGGTTCTTTATGCATTATTCTATTGATCTATTGTCTCTTTGGACTATACTCTTCTCATAATTCAGATGGACTTGTTTACTATCTTTCTTTTAATATCTGTTTTCAAGTAAGGCATTGCTTTGGAATTTCAGGAGTTCTCAGGTTTAATACCATTTCTATTCTCATTTTTTGGATGGCCTTGCACTCGCTATTCTCTCTTCGATAAAGCTGAAGTAAATTATTGTCACTATGAAAATTTGTAGTGCTTCTCATCCTTTTTTTCTTGTTCTTTATGCATTATTCATACTACTCATGTACAGCGAGAACTGTTGTATTGCATAAGGTTTTGAAGGGATTTGCATTTCTCTTTGATAGGACTTCTGCAGTTGATGCACGGTTGTCCTTATGTAGGTAGGCAATAGCGCAGTTATTCCTTGAGCTTCAATTTGAAGGCTATGTCTTCGTATTGACTCGGGAAACCTTTTGCCTGGACATTGATTGACCATTTAAAAGACCAAGCATGTCAAGGACACTAGTGTACATGCATGTTAGTTCTATATTCATATTGATGGTGTTGCTTAGAATCCGCTTGTCTAACATGCTCTCTTGGTCTAATTAAAACTCTGATGGTGCATCTGATGAATTTCCGCAGAAGACAATGCCAACCTACATGTCCACTAGACCTGGTTTTTTATTTTGCTGATGAGTCTGGTTGAAGGTGGCTGAATGGCTGTTTGAGAACTCAACAAACTGAAGCTACAATGACACGTGAACTTGCTTATGAACAGATACTGATACTTTTGCAGACTCTAGTTCTAGGATTTAAATACCATTTTCTAGTCAACTACTGCTTGGTGCTAGCAGCGGGCGTAGTTTCAAGTTCTTCAAGGTAACCAAATTTGCTCCAACTACTTTGTTCATTCTTTTCACTTCTTTGGCTGAAATACTTTGAGGTCCGATAGATCCCTAGAAACATCTTCTATATTAAGGTGTTAGATTTTAGGACAACTAAAGACATGAAGTTGAAAGTGTACATAAATAGTAGATAAACTTTAAGCTTAAGCCGGTTTCTTTATAAGAATGCTAATCCTAAGATTTTACGCGCCCATTGCATGGATCAATTGGGATCATCAGTATGTCAACAATGGGATTTGGGTTGGAAATTCTAGATGCCTAAAAATTTGTACAAGAATGCTGACCATAACAAATTGCAAGTTAATGCTGGTTAACTTCGTGGAAAGCTTGTAATCAAATGATTCATTGTACAATCAGCATTCTCCAATGAACAATAGCAAAACTATGCCCATTCCTGTTAAGCTTATTGTCAGAGCCATGTATCTTTCCCATAGAGTTATCTTCGTAACTGTTAGGTGTTGTTGTCTCATGGTCGTAAAATCACGGTACACAAGACATACAGTTGAAAACAGAAGGAATCTTCTAATTGTGCTTTGGGGTTGAGATGACAGGATAAGCCCTATTAGGGCCTATTTTAGATGGAATGCCTGATGTAGATTAACTGGATACGACACTCTGTAAGTTTGTCTATCGTTTGCTTCAGGTACGTTTTTCCCATTTAGAATAGATCGTAGGATGTTGAGAGTAGCAAACCAGTTAATTGTTTGGGCGAAAAGAAATCCGATTGAAATGAAGTGGATAGTGCTAAAACAAAAGTCTTTATGCGGTCAGCTGGGAATATGGTAAATATATTATGTTGACCAGGTAATGCTGAAGTTTGGTTTTTACTTGTTTACAGCGCCTGTCCGGTATCAAGATGGCAATGGCTTCATTCGATGAGCGGATGGAATCATGAAGATTTTGAACTCTGTGCCAGACGGACAGGATAATTCTGATGTCAAATCTTCGTAGAGGCTTTGTACGAGATGCAGCTTTGCTCTATTTGTGTTTCGGAGGCCAAGAATATTTTTGGTTCGTGTAATTTAACTTGCTATCAGCAGGATAAGGTCTCGGCAATGTCAAATCTTTTTAGTCAGGATGTCTTTAAGTTTGTGCGTACTTAGGAGTATGTGCAGTTTATCTAGTTATATCTGGGTCATGTTTGGAGCATTTTGATATTTTTGATCCTATTGCGTCAGTGTAGTTGGTGCCTCGATGGATGGCAAGCGGAGTGAATGTTTAGGCATTTTGATAGCTTCGGATCCTTTACAGGGGTCATGATAATTGGTGCTTGACGAATGGTCAGAGGAGCAAGATTTTCCGCCCGTACAGAGTAGGAATTGCTTGAGATTCGGCCCAGGCCAATCGGCCCCGATTTGGATATTAGGCCCAACCGGAGCCTTCTGCTTCAACTCTTCCGGCCCTTCCAAGACCCACTCTTAGGCCTTTCGGGTGTGCCAATAACGGACGACCATTAAGGGCTTCTGTATTGGGCCTTACCTGGGACAAGGAAGACCCATAGTTCAAGCAGACCCGTCTGCTTCTCCAATGGGCCACGTAAGCCACAAAACTTAGCTTAAATAGGCCCAGTCCATTTACTTTAGACACACGTATTGGGCCAAATATTGGATGGGCCAAAGACCATTATTTGGGAAATGGGCCGATATAGCCCAAGCGCTGGGGCATAATGGTGTTAGAAGATTAGGCCCATGGGCCGATTAAGGCTTAAAATTTGACTTCTTGGGGCAAGACCCATGGACCTAAGGAAAGCCCAGAACAAGATTTATTGGGCAAAGACCCATTTGTAAGGGCCCATGGCCACTAAAGCCCAGTTGCGTTGGGCCAGGTTCTGGGCCGAAGACCACCATCTGGATCCATGGGCCGCTGACGCCCAAAACTGGGTCTATTGGGTCGCATCCCTTTTTGCTCTCGGCCATGGGCCCATTAGGGCCCAAAATATTTATTGGGCCGAGGCCCATGGGCCGCGCAAAGCGTAGAAATATATTTCCTGGGCCTAGGCCCATTGATTTAGCCCATATTGTAGGCTCAATCTTGATAGATGTACAACGTAAGCCCAAAACTTGGTTTCATGGGCTGCGGTGCTATCTTTGGGCCCAATATCATGACATGGCCTAGTAAGGCCCAAATTGGTTTCTTATACTGAGCCCATTTGTTTTGTGAGCCTCTTATATCCCGAGATTTGGTTTAATGGGAGCGCCGTCCATTTTTGTTGGGCCCAATCTGGGCATTGAGAAGCGGAAGGCACAATTCTTAGTTTGGTGGGCCAAATAAGACCTAAAACTGGTATTTCCGGGGCCGAGGCCCATTATCTAGGCCTACGCTCCGGACCCAATCAGGGTCCATAGGCTGAGGCACGTAAAAGGCCCAACCCAGGACCATGTGCATGAACCTGCCTTGGGCTTCACATGCTTGTCGTGTACTGGGCCTTGCTATAAAGTTTTGACAATGGCCATTTTTCTTTCATTTTCATGAACAAATTATGTTTAACCGGGGTTTTAGATTAATCGTTTTATGACTTTTGGCCGTAAGCAAGGGGTCGCCCCCTTGTGTCTGGCCCCCACACTGCTCAAATATAACTTTCTCGGAAAATCTACATCACTAGATTCCCAATGCTATATCAATGCTCTAGTCTTCTCAGAGGTATAAAGCATACATCTGGATGCAGATTCAGATTCAAGGACCATTGCATGAACAAGTTATAGGAAAAAAATAGACTACATGAGAAACCAAGAAATGGAAAGGCTGCTTGCTATTTTCTCTACAACACGGGTAGCATCCTGGGGCTTGCGGATTAGCCGATTGAATAATTGGATAGGTGCACCTTCTCCAACTACATGCCTCCTTACCCTTCCAAAGCGATAGCGCCTGCCAGAAAACTTAATGATTGATTTTTTAGGTAAATCTGTTCAAATCTACAGAACAATCCGCAGAAAGAGGCAGCTGCTTTGATTTCAGAAAAGGATAAATGGGGACATAATACTTATGCTGTCTTGATCAGAAAATGCTTATCCATGCGGATTAGCTGATCCCTCTACTGGATGGTGCACCGTCTCGTTCATAATGTTTGTCCAGGACAGGAAACCTTTCCATAATACAGACAGCAGATGGCATAAGGAATTGCAACAACTGTCACTTTACCCTGTAAACTTCAATCAGGTAACTCAGACCGCTCCTTTTTCGCTGTGTCTATCATTGTACACAAGAATTTGGCTAGATCACAAGAATAAGCATCCGCAAGAGATGCATGTGTCAAGAACGGAAGCCTCCTTAATGACCTTCCACTGAATCCCTAGAGAAGGACAAATGAGCATCGTCAATATAGAGAATCTTACATATTGCATGATCTCCTCCAGCTGGAAACTTGGAAAGCTAACACAATGATGAAGAATGGAACTCTCTGACCTCACATGTCTCTGCAGCTTCAAGCAATATTTTGCAAAGTTCTGCTATCTCCTGTCCCTGGGCAACCTGCCTTTCTTGAGCAGTTGCATAATTTGGAAGTGTGAATTTGCCCAGCTCCTGAAATGGTTCCACTTGGTACTTAGTGTTGGTCTTAGTTGACCCAATCTAAGTACCATAACCAAAGATAAGTCCAGGTCTCAAGCTAGACAGGTGGTGGCATAAGGCATAGCAGCAAAGTATGACATTCAAGAATTGATAAACAGCAGAAAAAACGAACACACTTATTACATGGCATGACCACCACCCAGAAAAGTACAATCGCGGCTGTATCTATACCTGTGTATCTGACAGTATTCCTGCTCTCATAAGTTCCTGCACACAAGAACGTAAGATTTCATATCGAGCTTGAAGAGTTGGGGGACCAATATACGCTTTGATGTCAGCTCTATCAACAAACGCAACATCTGCAACGCAGCAAGGCAAAGTCTTTAAATCGATACTTTTCAACCCTACTCTTATATAAGAACTCTATCAGATCACAAGGGAAAGTAACAATGAACTAAAACCAAGGAACATAAATGAGGGACTCCAATAAAACTCGGTGAGTAATTTCCTAGTAAATCTGTTGAAATGTACAGAATAATTCACAGAAAAAAGCAGCTGCAAAGTCCGAATTCAGAAAACGCTAAATAAGGACATAATATTATATATTTAGAAAAGTGCAATCAAAGATATAAACGTACTAAATAGAAAAAATTGACAAAAAGGTCCTACACAGCATGCAGCATCCTGTACAGATTGGAATTGCGGGATATAAAGTTGATATAAATCAGTCTTACCAATAGCAGCTGTAATGTTTGATGTTGTCATAATTATTACATTTGGTGATGACTTCAACTTGTCCATCTGAGTCAGCAGTGCATTCACAACCTGAGGAAACATTTCCATCCATGGTGAATTTACACTCATTCTTGTAGAATGCATTCAGAGTAATATTAAATTAGTCTCTCGTTCCTCGATACTCTATTCTCTCAGGCAAGTGCTTGACCAAAGAGCAGAATAGACATGTAAATTTGCTGCTGTTGGAAAGTCAGAGAAATGCTCTAGTACCCGAATCGAATCTGAAGGTTCAGAACCAGACAAAGCAGCTTTTCTAGCCGCTGCGAGACTTTCCACTTCGTCTGCATTATCACCACATAATATTAGTCTAAAGGAAGAGGAAAAGAGTGCTAACCTGTAAAAACACTGCAATGATAATCTCACCAATTAAAACAAATACCAGATTGTTTTCTTCCTCCACCATCTCTTGAATTTTTTCAAAAAGCCTTGCAACCTAAAATAAAGAATCATGAGCGACACTCCATGCCTCCCAACTTCTGGAAGAAACTCTCATTGGTGGAAATTTTAATCATATGTATTTATGATATGAGGGTTATGCATATCTGCTCTAGGTCTCCACAGTGAGAAGCTAAAGTTTCTACCGCGGCATGGCTACAATTAGTTGCATCTTGCCCATGTGAAGAGTTATAAACAAACTAATTCGACTGAAGAAGAAATAATGCTTTAAGCACACTAAGGGCACATTTGTTTCACGGAAAATGAATAATTTGAAAAACATTTTACTGAAAATAATCACTTGCATCGCTTGAAATAATAGTCATAAAAAATGTTTTCATTATCGACAACACTTTTTGTCTTGACATTTTCGTGGACGACTAAAATATTTTTTGCTCATTTATTTTGTAATCGATACAAGTGATCATATTTAGGAAAATATTTTCCAAATCAATCATTTCACGCGAAACAAACGGAGTGTAATTCATAAATTCTTTAAGAGAGTAGAAATTTCAAAGGCATAGGAAGGCTCTTTACTTTTTGGACTAGCAAGAAGTGACATCAGTCAAAAATTAGACCTTGATGATCTTTTTAGAAGAAAAGTAGAAGAACAAGAAGTAATCTTTTGTCCATGAGCATAGCGTGTTGATTAAGAGGCAATTTCTCAGGGGCAGAATTCAAGTCATCAGATGCTTAGATAATTTAAATGACTATCCTTGTATTACTATTTCTTCTAAGTTATTTAATTAATTAATAAAAAAACTAAACGTAGACTATATGAAGGAGAAGAGGAGGCATCAGAAAAATTATCTTGAGATGAATTAGGCACATACCAACTTGCCACTTTCAGAGAACCATTTACTGAACAAAGAGTGTGCATTAACTTCAACTAGTTGGCACTGTGGATACCTGAGGGAAGAAGAATACAACAAGTGGAAATGTTCAAAAGACCAATACCAAATTTTACATAGATTCCACCAAAAAAAACATACAGGAGAAAGAAATCTTGAAGTCACATGCCAACCTCGAATTAAAACGTATGGACAACTTCTGTGCTAGAGCTTTGCATAACGATGTCTTCCCTGTCCCTGGAGGTCCATGTAAAAGAATGATGCTGCAAAAACAGGACAAATCATACACAAAAGGCTAACAACTCTTCAATTGGGGGAAGCAAGTGATTAGTGATATAGAAATGATGATTACTAGCTTCGCCAGTATCATTGTAAAATAATGCACTAGAGATTATACACAATAGATGTCGTTATTGGTTTCTTATGTCCATGTAATACATTAAATGACTGCACATTTACGTAGCTATGTATTGATCCTGAGCAAATGCTGACAAGATCATGACTATCCGAAGCTCCATTTACGTTCAATGCATTGGGATCCATGCTATAAATACTGAAAAAAAAAAACCAAAACAAACATGCAAATGCCACTGACCGGTTCCAAGACACTAAAAAGGGATCGACACCCTTTTCAGTGAAAAGTAGGGCACTTTGAGCATACCGCAACAGCCTTTGCTTCAGACCAGGTTCATAGATTAAGCTGCATTTGGATATACAACAGTTATGACCAACAAATTTCTTGTGGTTTCCAGGAAAAAAGCTGCAAACACACCTTTCCCACATGCCATCAAATTCCTTTGCAGGGAGAATCCACTCGTGGAAACTAGAGAGTTGGCCATCAGTACTTGATTCTTCACATGGTCCTTCCTCGCTAAGCTGCCAAGAACCATTCGAGCAGTGAGTTTAATGGCCTTGCTCAAATGCAGTATGATGGAGCATCAAATTAAGGCACACACCAAACAGCACTAGGTAGAAGACATTTACTCTGATGGAAAATCAAGTAACTGGGTAAATCCGGGAGAACTGCACATCAGTAAGGGGAAGAGGAGAGGAAGAACAACAGTGTCCTATAAGCTTTGGCAAAAGTTACCTGGAAAACATGCACCACAGGCTTGACTTGCCAGAACAAAAGAACGCCATGGTCTTTGACACCCTCATCTACAAGGAAAAAAATATCGAATAAACAGAGCTCGTGCACCATGGAAATAAACACGCCGTGTGCTAATTTTTTCTCCCACTTAACAAAGAAAGTTCATGAAAAGAAGAAGACTCCTATATAATCAACTTAAACATTGTCCGTCTACACAAAACCACCAAACCTAAACCACAAAGCATAGCATCGGGGATGTCTATGAGAAACCTGGAAATTTTTTTCTCTCAAGATAAAGAACATACCTGCCTCGCAAATACGAATTCTCTGAACATTATCCACAAGAAACGCGTCGTCCGTTGGCACGGGAACGGGGCCATCGCTGTAGCTCAAACTGCGCTTTTCAAGCATCCTGAACAATAAACAGGCGTTACTTATTTCTAAGCTCTCCCCTGCGAAGCAACCTACTCTCTCAAATCACGTACAAGTACACATAAGGAAATATAACCAAAATTTCACCTCAGCTTCCTCGTTTGTCAGTCTAAACCTATTAACAGAACAGATGCTTCATAAACACTTAGGCTGTACACTTTTGTTTTCAACAGAGTATCTCATGCTTCGTACATTAACGAGCTAAAAGTCAAAACGAACCACGGTCGCCCATCGCATGCGCTATGCCGACAATGAAAACAAGCGATTCGGAGAGCTTCTCGGAGTTACCTCTCCACGGCAGATCTGACGTCGTCTGCGCGAGCCGTGCTCGAGGGCTTTAAGCAGACCTCAACTGAACCATCCAACACAAGGCAAAGTTCCGCTTGAGAAACGATACAAGAGCGCCACGTCTCGAACCGCGAGCTCGAAGAACCGAAGCTACGGGGACGGAACTTGAAGAGGAAAGGCTGCAGAGGGAGAGCTCACCGGGGAGGAGAATCTTGTCGTCGGAGACTGCGGTCGCGGGCGGCGGCGGCGGAGGCGACGGAGGCGGCGGAGGAGCGACGCCGTTCTGCTCGCAGATGGCCAGATCGGTGAGGTTTTGCACGGAGATCTCCATGGGAACGCTCATCGTCTTCTTCGCTTCGGGAAGCGAAGCAGATCGCGAACCCTAGACTAGAGAAGAGGGCTCTTCGGTTTCAGTCTGTGTTTTTTGAAATCTGGGAGGGAAAATGAATCGAAGCCGTATGCAAATATATACGTGTGAGCTGCAAAGGTAGGGGTTTTATGGTAATTATACTTGGGCCGGCCCAGCTCGAGCCCGGCTCATTGATTACTTGAGATCGACTCACCTAATTTCGAGCCGAGCTCGAGCTCGAGCCACGAGTATTTGATCGAGTGGAGTTTAAACTTGTTAATACCTGAGTTGACTAGCTCGCGAGCCTAATCGAGTTTTTATTATTATTTTTATATACCTCTTTTTGCAATTAAAAAAAAAGACAAATGAATTGTTAAATCACGTGATGAACTCTCGTACACATACAAACAATGTAAATGCTTGAGTTGAGTTTTATTTAAAACTCTATCGTAATCGAGTTGAGCACGAGTCAATACTTGATCTAACTCGAGTCAAGATTTGAGTCCCCGAGTATGCGAGTCGAGCCAAGCTCGAGCTCAGCACCAACTCGGCTCAAGTACACCCTACTCAAAAATCAAATTGTCACGGTAGATATGTATTGCTCTATTCAATTTAATATGGTACCTTTATTGTGATGCTTGTGGTGTTGAAAAGTGAGGGGGAGACCAAAATAAGGTTAAAATTATACTCCTTATTCGCTTTTCTAATGTTAAAATGAGGGTGATGATTATTATTGTGATTGCATTATGGTGGTCCATAAAAAACGAAAATTTCGATATATAGGACCGGTCCATAAAACTTGAAAAAGTAGTTACCTTATTCTGATTATTGCTGGAAACACTTGGATCGGTCTACTAAAATTGGTATTCATGACCATCGTCCTATATATTTCCGCAGCACAACTTGGCATATGTTAGTTAGCAAATTAATCTTTTCATATCTAGCATTATTCTTTTTCTTTGTCTCTATTTAAGTTCACTCCTTAAATTCCATATACTTCAATTCTATCCTGTCTTTGCCACCAAAGTTCATAGGCATTTATCTTGGGGGGCTCACCAACCACCATCTCATGTACCTGTCATAGTAACCAGACAAAGACAGAGCCTGGTCCTACTCAAAGAGTTCCTGTGGACCAGCATCTCACATCCACACAACCAAAACATCCAGCTCCTTGGGATTAGATGGGGCTAGAACAATCAGACAAATCCTTCATCTCCATCATTTATCCTGTCATGGGATTCCATAATTCTCTCAGAAAAAGCAGCTATGGATGCAAACCAGCCTATCCCAACTTATAACGGCAACAAGCAATGTGAGGCTCTGGTTCTCTCTCACCATGGCTCATGCCACAAGCCACGTTCATGCTAGCCTTGAATGCTGATGAAGAAGAAGCAACCAGAGAACCATGAACCTGAGCAAGAGCTTGAGATCCTCAAGGCGGTGGCACAAGCCTGGCACAGCCACTCCAGCAGCTCCGGAGCGGCCAGCAGCAGCGAGTTCGACGCCCGCCGGCTTAATTTCAAGAGCAGGCCTTCCCGGTTCAGGGTCGAGGCAATGAACAGTAAGTCAATTGTGCCTTCCAAGGGCAAGGATGGTCTCGGTGGTGGCCCCTGGGACTTCAGGCAATCCCTGTGGGATTCGTACGAGATCGTGACAGTCGCCAGGAAGCTCGAGGCGCGGTTGAATTTGGATGACCCATTTGGGGAGCTGCCCGGGGCCGGTAGAGTCATTAGGAGGGAGAGGGAGAGTAGGAATAGCTTGAGGAATCTGTTCAATCTGATGTCCTCTAGAAGATTTAATGAGCCTGATGCTCCAAGTCCGAGTTTACAAGACAATCAATTTTGATCATATTCACCTGACATTAGCCCCAGCTTTTGACTGTTGTCAATTCAATTTCATTTCTTGCATAGACTTCTATAAATTTCCATTGCTGACATCTAATATGCCTTCTATCAGTGTCGATTTCAGTGAATGCTTTATCTCCGTAGCATTTTGAATCTGCCGGTTTAGTCTGATTTAGAAAAGCGATTTTGGTTGCAAGTCCCTCATTTGTTGGCGAGCGTAGCGTAAGAAGGCATCGAGTAAGAGGACTTGAATTATGAATTTCAACTCCTCTGGGCAATAGGAAAGAGTTCCCTCATTTTGAATCTGCCGGTTTTGTGACAGACACCCCCTAAACGGGCCATCCAAGCAAGTATGATAAAAAGAAACCGAGATGACAGCAAAGACAGGCACTTTATTAATATCAAGGTTGCTAGTAACACCCTTATTTCTTGGGAGGTTATTTTGCCTGCCAAATTAAGCATGGACAGTCTTAGCTCGAGAGGCCTAATACGCTTTGGAGGTGTTCCACTTGCACGGTTGGAATCCTCGGTGCTTCTGTTGAATGAAGCTGTCGGTCTTCACATCGACGACTTCTTCAAACACTTCGACCCGTTCGTCCCCATAAGGCTCGACCCTCTCCTCCTTGAACTCTATCACTTCGACCGTCTCCTGGAACTGAGGGGAGCGATGGTTGTGATTGCGCTGACGATGATTGCGGTGAGATTCGCTCTCCTCTTCCCGAATGACTTTGTTGTTGAACACGGTGTGCACATTCGGGTATTGAGGGACGTTTGGATGAACACTGGGCATCCTCGCTAATCTCGAAATGTGTTCATGGTATTCTTGGGATGAGGTGTCCCAGCCACTCTGCTGCCAAGACTGGCATTCACTCCTCCTATACATCTCTTTAGGCGTTTTCTTGTCCTTGACACTTCGAAGTTCAGTGCTGAAGTGAATTTATAGGCGAATTGCTGCTTTTTCTAGGTATTCCAAGCGATAAGTGCGCATCTAATTCCTGGTCCTCGATTCATTTTCGAGCAAACATTACCACACACTGGGAAGTGACAACAATAATTTATGGGGGTACCCTGCAAAGGCAAGATACCGAAATAGATTCCTAAAGTTAACATAAAATAGCACCTAGAATCTTTCCATGGTATCCTTGTGAGGACAATCTATGCCTTGATCTCAGTTTAACTGCATACTTCAATGTACCAAATCTGACAGGAAGTCCAGATTAGCCTCTTGCGATCTATGTTGATCGAAATAGTTACATGAGATCAGAGGTGAAAATGAAAACGAAAAACTTGCTTCTGGCGAAAATTTTATCCGATATGGGCAATGAAATGTCTTCTCTTTTTCCTCGACGCGACCGACGTCCGTTAGGGGCAAGTCGATCAGGAGTTTTATTGCAGAGAAAGTCCCAGAAAATCGGGTCTTGGACGAGATTTACTTACATAAATGCTAAAGCTTAACTGAGCAAGAGCATTCATTTTGACAGAAAAAGTAATGCCAGTCCATGACAAATATGACACCCTCGGTTCATGTATATACGAGAGCTTCACTTTCATGTTAGCCGTTGCAAGAAAATATGGCTTTTGCAACTCCAGTGACACCCGCCAAAAACGTCAACTTTCTGACTGCCATACCTCAATTTCCAGAGAACCCCAAAGCCCTCATTCTTCAACAATGTAAGACCGTCAGAGACCTGAACCAAATTCACGCCCACCTCATCAAGACCCGCCTTCTCTTCAACCCCTCCATAGCTGAGAACCTCCTCGAATCAGCAGCCCTCATTGTCCCCAACGCTATGCAGTATGCAGCCTCCATTTTTAATGAAATTGACAGACCCGATACGTCTGCTTATAATGTAATGATCAGAGGTTTCACTTTGAATCAGTCCCCTCTCGAAGCCGTGCTTTTGTACCCGGAAATGCTCGAACGCTCGGTGCCGCCGGATGAATTCACTTTTCCTTGTGTTTTGAAGGCTTGCTCTAGGTTAGGAGCTGTAGATGAAGGTGAACAGATCCATGCCCAGATCTTGAAAATGGGAATTCTGTTAACTGGGTTCGTTGGCAACACTGTGATTCATATGTATGCAAACTGTGGCAAAATCAAGATTGCCCGTAAAGTGTTCGATGGATTGACTGAGAGGAACGTTATGGCTTGGAATTCAATGTTTGCGGGTTACAGTAAGGGTGGGCATTGGGAGCAGATCGTGAAGTTGTTTATGAGGATGCAAGAATCGGGTGTTGGATTTGATGAAGTTACACTGATCAGTGTATTGACTGCTTGTGGGAGGTTAGCTGATTTGGAGCAAGGAAAGTGGATTGCAGACTATATAGAGGTAAATGGGATGCAGAAAAACAGTACTCTGATCACTTGTGTTATTGATATGTATGCAAAATGTGGTTGTTTGGATGTTGCAAGGAGAATGTTTGATCGGATGGGACCAAAAGATGTTGTTGCTTGGAGCGCCATGATATCTGGTTACACCCAAGCAAGGGAATGCAAGGAGGCACTCGATCTTTTCCATGAGATGCAGGCTGCAAATGTCGAACCCAATGAGATCACATTAGTTAGTGTTCTTTCTTCATGTGCAGTCCTTGGAGCCCTAGAAACTGGCAAGTGGGTTCACTTCTTCATAAAGAAGAGAAGGTTGAAACTCACTGTTCCTCTTGGAACTGCATTAGTTGATTTTTATGCCAAATGTGGATCAATTGTTACTGCCATCGATGTGTTTAGGAAGATGCCAGTGAAGAATGTGTATTCTTGGACAGTGCTAATTCAAGGTCTCGCTAACAACGGGCAAGGTAAGAGGGCTCTTGAGTTCTTCAACATGATGCAGGACAAAAATGTTCCACCGAATGATGTGACTTTCATCGCTGTGCTCTCTGCTTGTAGCCATGTGGGTCTGGTTGATGAGGCTCGGTGTCTCTTCACCAGTATGAGTAGAGACTTTGACATCGAGCCCAGGATGGAACACTACGGCTGCATGGTTGACATTCTTGGACGAGCCGGGTTGATCGATGAGGCATACCAGTCAATACAAAACATGCCTATCCAACCGAATGCTGTTATTTGGAGAACATTGTTAGCTTCATGCAGGGTTCATAAGAATGTGGAACTCGGGGAAGAATCGTTGAAACATCTAGTCAAATTGGAACCCATGCATAGTGGGGATTACATACTTCTCTCGAATTTATATGCATCTGTTGGGAGGTTGGAAGATGCAATGACAGTGAGGAGTCGGATGAAGAAGAGAGGAATCAGGAAGACACCTGGCTGCAGCCTGATTGAAGTTGACGGAGTCGTTCACGAATTTCTTTCTGAAGATGATATGCATACTCACTCGAAGGAGATATACAGGGCAACTGAGGACATGCTAGGGGAGATCAAATCTGCCGGATATGTGCCCAACACGGTGGAGGCTAGATTTGATGCAGAGGAAGAAGATAAGGAAGTCTCGGTTTCTCATCACAGCGAGAAGCTGGCAATTGCTTTTGCTCTTATCAGAACCCCACCAGGAACGACTATCAGAATAACGAAAAACCTTAGAGTATGCTTGGACTGCCACAATGCCACAAAGATTGTCACAAAGGTATTTAATAGAGAGATTATTGTTAGAGACAGGAACAGGTTCCACCATTTCAGAGATGGACAATGTTCCTGCAATGACTACTGGTGAACACTTGGGAAGGTTAAAGTGTTCGAGCTGCATGATGGTAGGTCTCGAAGTCGGCTATAAAATTCTCTGACTGTGTCCTATTTGCCGATACAAAAATTTACTCATTTCTTTAGCAATGGAGGGGCAATAACACAGCTTTCTTTGGGCAGCCTCCTTTGCCAAAAAAGTGTGTATGGTTCAGTACAGACTCCACCCCTGGGCCGAGAATGATACTCTCCAAAGTCTCCCGAATAGATCTGAGAACCTCTGTATAATTACCATTTCCGTCATACACGCTGTCATCATGAAGAGTCCTCGTATGAATTGGTCCAGCATCTTCTTAGATATCTGATTTTGAACGTCATTTTTTTTTGCAGGGAAAAGCCACTTAGTGTATCTTTGACTAATTGGGCCATCCACCCAGAAGTACTCAAATAACACTCTCAAATGATTAAAAACTCGATTCATAGTTTAACGAATCCGGAATCACGAGTGCAAATTATTGTGGCGTTGGACATGTAAAATCGCTTTCATGTCAGGAAATAAGAAGATAGGCTGTCCAAACCGGAATTAGGCGGACATTTTCGAATTCATGCACACAGTGCACTGAAAGAGGAGAAGTTTATTTTATCCGATGAGCTCACGAAGTATTCAGGATAACACCACCCACCATTCAGTCCATAGTTTTGTTGATACAAGCATATCTCACCATCAGAAATTTGCAGATGCTACTGATTATTCTCTCTTATAGATCTGCACTCTTCAGTTGCATCTCTATATCACTCACATTGACAGACTGAATTAATAAAACTTCCCTCGTCTCCATAGACTTGAACTATCTGTATGCTCAGCGTATCATGGATGGAATGAAATTTTATACCCCTATTCAGAAGTACTGATGGACCACTACGATGATGAACTCGCCGACAAAATTATGTCTAGGCAAATGGTCTAATCAATCACTAGATTTTCAGGAAAAAGATATACTAAACTTTATTTGCTAAGTTGAAACCAATGAAAATTAAAAACATGGGACACAGAGATCAACATGGACAATGGTTTTCTCCCAAATATGACAACCGGAAAATGCATCTTTGTAGTAACAAGCTAGGATGAGAATATAAACAGATGGGAACTAATAGACTTGTTTACATGCAAAGATTTCAAGGCAGAGGTGTCAGTGCTTTCCCTGTCCATCTCGCAGAACTTCTCCGGAGAACGATGAACAATTTCCCATTTAGCTTGAAGCATCATACAATACCCAAAACAAAATAGTCGAGGTTTCTTCCATGACATAGCTAGATAATTAACTAGGATCCTGTAAATTGAGAAAATGCATCAGATGGAGTAAAATGCGTGAGCTACGCAAATTTTGATGCAAGGACGATGATTTGAATATAAATTCTGTTAGCAAGTGCCAGGAAACTTGTTAAGCTCCATTGAAAGACATTCTGGAGCACTTAGAAAAGGGAAATATAGCATTTGTGGTTGGTAGCATATTTTGGAAAATGTCAAAAAAGTGTTCATTTTTTGCCCTTTCATTTTGACTGTGCAATGAACGCGCATAGCTGAGCCTTTCTGGGTACAAAGTAAACAGATGGGGCAAGACCAAACTTTCCTTTCTTTTACAGTTGGCTGACTCAATGAAAGACCAGACTCCCAACCATTCTAGCTTTGTCTAGTAAAGTTAGTAACATTGGTCAAAGCAGGAGAAGCAGCCCTTTGGTTTGTTGTCCCTCGCTTTAGGCGTTTCTCCCGAGGCATCGCGTCTTGCCATCAAGGAGCTTGTACCAGGTGATTCCGGCGGAAAGACTCTGTTCTCAGAAGTGAAGATTCGCAAAGGAATGACTGGTTCAGGAGGAGATACGGCGTATAGATAATTAAGGAGCATTTGGATTATTTCGCTGAAGTGGGGGCGATCATTAGGATCCTCTTTCCAGCACGAAGTGAGAATAGTAGCCAATTCCTCCGGAAGATTATCAGCACTAGGCCTCACATTCTGAAATTTCAGGACAATGCTGCAAACCATTAGACATAGCAAAGCCAAACCGGAAATACCACCACTTTATGAGGGCAAAGCCAAACAGGACAATGCTGCACACCATTAACATGATCCCTTTAGGAGAGCCTGAGAATGTCTATTACCTTGAATGCAGCTGCATAAGCTGCCTGAAGATTTGACATGCCTTCAAAAGGCAATTTGTTGTGTAAAAGTTCCCACAACACAATCGCAAAGCTATAAGCATCCACTTTATGGTTGTAATGCTTCTTCTCTCCCTGCCTTAATGTGACGGTGCTGTATAACTGCCCAAAAGTAACAACCACAAACAGCCAGAGCTTATATAAGTAGTCAAAATCATGCTTGTGCTCATGCTAGGGCAAATTCATTATCCAACACATGTGATTGTGTGTGTCCATGTATTGAGTACCTCTGGAGCCATCCAACGATAAGTCCCTGTTTCAGCAGTCATCATCTCCGTTAATGACTCCTCTCTGGCTAAACCAAAATCTGCTAATTTAACTGTTTTCTGGTCAGCAGTCAATAGCAAGTTTTCTGCAGAGAAATCCAGTAAGGGGTAATTGAGCATGTTGTCCAGCAAAGTCAAGCATCCAAGACTTCTATTTATTGAGACTCACAGCTCAACTCTAGAGAAGCTCAAAAAGACTTGGAAATGTAAAGATTACCGGGTTTGAGATCTCTATGTATAATCCCATGGGAGTGCAAGCATTCCATTCCGCGTGCAATATCAAGGGCAAAACCAATTGCAACCCGTGTCTCTAAGCATCTTGGGCGGATATTTAGCAAATATTTACGTAAAGTACCTCCTGATAAAAGCTCAGTGACTATCACCATTATTGGCTCCTTGCAGGCTCCAATAAACTGGCCATACACAAGGTTTAGCAAAGTGTCGGAAAAAGGGTCTTACATTCACAAGCTAATTCAATCTCTTCCACTAGCATGTAATGATAAAGATACAAAAGAAAGCAACAAAAGTAACTTCTCAATCCTACCTTGACCAAATTTTTGTGCTGAACTCTAGACAACATGGCCACCTCCCTTGCAAATCGTGCTTCTCTCTTGGCAATTTCCTCTGGAGTCTCCCCTTTATGGACCATTTTTATGGCAACCGTCTGGTTTTTATATCTGACACAATGCCAATTTCTCATTGATTAGACACCGATTATCAGAATGCCAGAAAAAACACAAAATCGGTAAAGAAGATCAACCAATAAATCGCTTCACCATCAAAAGAATCAAAAGAAAATCGAGTGATCCGTACAGGAACATGAATCTTCAGATGACAATTTTCAGGCGGAATAAAAACCAAACAGTAGAACATCCTTGACATTTCAGAAGATTGCTGTACATAGCAACTGAAACGAAGTACATTCTAACTGAATTCAATTATTAACTTTTTCCTGGACACTCAATCAAGAGATGTCGGATCCCATAACCATCGAAATAGCAAAGTTGCCGCACATCTGCGCAAAATCAAATCAAACAGAATTGTCCAAAAAGAGAACAGACCCATATCAACAACATTACACAGCCTGAACCAAGATCTCAAGCAACCTCACATGCAAACAAACAAAATGCGAAAGCAGAACACAAGTTCAATGTCTTGAGAGTCCAAAAAAGAAACTTAAATCAACATGAGGGGAAAAAAGCTCACTTTCCCTCGTAGACTTTGGCGTGCGCTCCTTCTCCAATTCTTGGCCCGACGAACAGATTCTTCGCATCAACAAGCCATTTAGCATCCACTCGGAAATCATCATCTGAGTAAATTCTACTTCCAGATTCCATCTCTCTCTCTCTCTCTCTCTCTCTCTCAAGCAAAAAAGAACATGATAACTATCTGAAGCACGTCATTCTAGTAGCTCTACGCCATTTCGTACTGAAATTGCAGAACGCACTCCAAAAACAGAAGGAAAAGGTTCATTGAGCAGTACCAACGGATAAGACATGTCCTGCAATCTACTGCCTCTTCATAAATGCACTGTCCCCTAAATCAAGGACCTTTTTTTTTATTTTCGAAAAGACCAAACCACCTTCAAAACTTCAAGGCGTGGCAAAGAGAAATGGGAACACCAAACGTTTCAGATACACAGAGAGCAATGAAGAAGAACGTGAAGAGAGTGCAGCTCTTGATAAGGACGGAAGAGAGAAAACAAGAGAGCTCGGAGACCATAAAAAGATGCTTCCGAATTCATCGGGAAATGAGGAGAATCCCCAAAAAGTGGAACAGGGGAAAATTAATTTCTTGCGGAAAGATCCAATCTTTTCTCAGTGAACCTCAATGGAGATGGCAAGTTATTAAAAGGGTCGATAGGCTTTTGGGTGTTTTGATTATAAATCTCTGTGGGTGTGCAGAAATCGACTCTTGATCTGCAGACAGAATCACGGAAAAAGATAAGAGTCCGTGTTCAATAAACAAAGAAGAGAGAGAGAGAGTGAATAATGTAACATGGATTGGAAGACATAAACTAATCAAAGGGCACATGGGGACTGAACGTCAAACATGGGGAGGGGAGAAAAAGCATAAACAGGAGAAAAGATGGCAGCGTCCGTAAAAATTTTCGGTACTATGGATGATTAGCTCCTTCACAGTACAGTGGAAAACTTCATCAGTAAAAGAGTTGGACGTGGCAAGAGAGGCAAGACAACAAAGATGAGGCGGACAGGCTTTGTCTTGTGACTGACTTCACTGCCTATTTTGTATCTAGTTCCACTTTCACTCCCCCATTTCTTGTCTAGCCTTAGACAAATTCAGCATCTTTATCCCAAGCATCGACAGTTAACAAACACAAAATCCAGAAAAATTGAGTAACATCAACACAGAAACCCTGATGACAGAGGCATTATCAATCCATACATCAACAATTTCACCATTTCTCTGTTCTTAGCAATCCAAGATTACATGATGGTAGTTGCGAAAACCCAAAGATTTGTATGTCTTGTGTCCTGCACTAAAAGACACGTGAATAAAGACAACAACAGTCCCCTGTATCTGTCCAAAAAGACTCTGCCTTCCGAGTACCTTACTAACGCGACACACCGGCCACAATGAGAACGATGATGGATGTTTGATGACGATGACGATGATGAGTGTTTGAAGACAAAGGGATGTTGCATGTGTCCGGTGTTACTGCAATTGGGGAGCATTTGGCTCGTGGGACGGGCTCAAGTACCATCCAAGTACACACACAGAGAGGCTCCAAAAGATAAAAAAGTTACCATAATTGGAAATGGCTCTCTTGTACTCTTTTTTGCCCCCTTCTCTCGCAATAATTAAACGAATGGAAGTTGCCCCCACATATTGATTTCTTTTTTAGGGACACGGCTTTGATTATTATAAGAAATGGTCCACGTGATTGCCTCTGCTTTCATGGGACGCCATGAACGAGAAAAAGAATCTCTCTTTCCTTCTTTTCTCTTTTTTTTTTATAAATTTGCTGAGACAATAGAAAAAGGATTGGGTAAATCTTGCGTGGGGTTGGTCGTATGGTATACTCACGTACGAGCTTTATTCCGTAATTAATTTCGGGATACTAATATAAATGATTCGTGAACTTTAACCTAATGTGTAATGTGGTTCACGAACTGCTTTTGATACATGTTCAATATAATCCTTGAATTATATTAAAATGTTCATTGTCGCCATTCCATTGATTCAAAATCAGAGATAATATTGAGCATTTTCATATAATCTAGGGATTAAATTGAACATGTACCAAAAGTTCAGGGATCATATTGAACAGATTAAAAATACATGGACCACATTGCACATTTGGCCAAAGATTCAGGATTTATTTGTGTCATTTTCGCTTTGATTTTCATGGTCACTTTTAAAAAATCTCTAACCCTAGCAAATCTCTAAATTTTATGCAGATTTTGGTAATAATTCTCTTATTCACGTACAAGAAATAATAGGGTTATGCATATCTCGGTAATAAATAATAATAATTATGTATGTATATATAGATTCCATCTAGGTGAATGATCGAAGATCTATGGCAGGTAAAATTCTATTTTGTCCTCATATCTAATTTTTTCCTGAATTTGGAATATATATATTATATGATATTTGTTATCACTAAAGTGAGAACAAAGTCCTGCATCGAGGTTTTATTACATGATAATTCTTATAACTATCATTAAGACTCATTGTGTAATTTTGAAACTATTATTACAAAAAAAAAATCAAATGTTTGAATTCGCATCCCTTATAGCTGTTCAATTACGGGCTAAGGTAAGTTCTCAAGTGACAATTTTCATAATTCACAAAAAAGTCCATGAAAGAAAAAGTAAAAGTTAAATACATTCTCCGATTGCGCATACCTCAAAATAAATGTTCAAAAATAAAATATTTATAGCTCTTGATTTAAGAAGTATGATAAATTGATGAGGCTCCATTTACTTCATGAAAGATGAATGATTTGGAAAACATTATTCTAAAAGTATCGCTTGAAATAATTAGTGAACAAAAAATATTTTCATTATTGACAATAATTTATGTCTCAATATTTTCGCAAACGATGAAAATATTTTTCGTTTGTTCATTTTTTTACCCGACACAAGCGATCATTTAAAAAAAAACTTATTTTTCAAATCATTCATTTTTCACTAAGCAAACGGAGTTTCAGTGAGACATTTTAATCATTACGAAAAGTTTATGAAAGGAAAATAAGGTTTAGAAATTTGTGTTACCCGACTGCATGTACTTCCCCAAATAAATATGCAGACAAATATAAATGAGAGTTGGAATTTTCTCTGTACTTAGTGTAGCTCAATGACAGATGGGGTTGGACCCTTCAATGCCAACTTCACTTTGATCTGAAGTTGCATGCAGTACAGGGTTCCTCGATCCGAGGTTTCGGCCAGTCTGTCTTTACTGAACTTCTTGCCACCTGATCATGTCATTCTACTTGGTTTTGAGGTCCTCACGATACGTTGCCATGCATCACGAGTTCCGAGTTCTTTCCTCGGCCTCACAGTCGCCTGTTCCTGCTGGCAAATTCACCCGAAAGAGAAGAGAAATCAAGAAAGCGTCAGCTGTGAAACGCGATCGGTGATCTTTTGTATCCTTGTGATGGATAAGAGCATTGTCTTGTTCCAGCTGCTAGAACCAGCGAGCTTTCGGGGCGCTTCTTGTCCGAGTGAGTTCAATTCTTTCACCCATTTTTCTTTCCTATGACGCAACGCCTGCTATAAAAGCCTCCACCGCTTCATGTTCTCTCTGCCCAGTTCTTGTGCTGTTTCTTGTTTGAAAACGATCGTCTCAAGAAGTTGCAGGAAAACAATGGCTGCTTCTTCTGCTGCTGCTAGTCCATGGCAGATCAGAGATGGGTGTCTCATGGTGCGAGACAAGGTCGTTCTGAGCAAAGTCGCACCCAATATCACCCTCACGCCGTCGAAAGATGGGGATGCTTTTGTTGGAGCAACTTCGAGAAGCTCAAGCAGCCGCCATGTCTTCAACATTGGAGTTCTCAGGTGGGCATCTGCTTTTTCCACTACTCTTTATGGTCGTTGTATGATGAAAACATTAAGAATATCTTGGGATGCGAAGAAGCAAGTCGATCACTTCTTGTTAGTTCACTACTTTAGTTTGCACAGCAGTGATCGTGTTGTGTGTTACCGTAAGTAATGAAATCTCCAAATGATAATTGGTGATACTTAAGCCACTGTAACAGTTTTAAGCTTAATTGCAGGGGATACAGGTTCCTGAGTCTCTTCAGGTTCAAGCTCTGGTGGATGATCCCATCTTTCGGAGATGCTGCCAGCAAAGTTCCTGTGGACACTCAAATGCTTCTCTTGGAGGCGAGAGAAGCCTCTGCCACGGCCAGCGGATTTAATGGTACAATTGTCACAGGGGACGAGGATGCCAACGAAATCTTCTACGTTTTAATTTTGTCCTTGTTGGAGGGACCATTCAGGACTAGTCTGCAGGGAACAGATGTCGATACGCTCCAGTTTTGCGCCGAGAGTGGTTAGTTCAAATTTGAAGGAACCAGCATTTTTTTGTACTGTCGTCAATGTTATTCTGTTCTGGAGCACTACTATGATTATGTCTGTATTAGGGGATCCAAATGTCCAGACTTCCGAATTCTCAGAAGCTGTAATGATAAACACGGATACCGACCCATTTGATCTCATCAAGAAATCTATCAGGTTTGTCACCGAATTTCAGCGTAGATCTTGATTTGGGAACCTATGAAAATGATCTATTTCTGAAGGGGTCTCATGATGAGTTAATTGGTCCAGGATATTGGAGAAGCATAAAGGTACCTTCAGCTGCACAGAACATAAGAAGGTACAAAAGAAGACACCTTTCGTCCAAAAGATTGCAATTTTTTTTTTTCATTTTCGTAATTTTGTGTAGTACTTATAAACATTTAGTGAAGAATTTTGTTGGATCGTCATCGATAGCTCCCTGTGCAAGTAGACCTGTTTGGATGGAGCACTTGGGATGCCTTCTACGATGCAGTTGACCGAATCGGAATCGAAGAGGGTCTCAAAAGGTATTTTATTAATGTACTTTATTGGTTATAAAGTGGGAGCTTATTTGGCCTAATTTTTCCTTCTGGAACAGTCTGTCGAAAGGAGGATTCCCGCCTAAATGGTTGGTCATAGATGATGGTTGGCAAAACATATTACATGACACTGTGGACAACCGTAAACTAGCCGATGTGGAAGGATTGAAGTGAGTCTTCTCTTCATCGAATTTAGTCATCTGCAGATATAGGCATCAATTTATTTTATCAGCTAGTAGGTCTCTCACATGTTGCTTTGCAGATATGCGTCAAGACAGGTAAATTTCGATGCCAATCCAAAGTTCAAGGGTTCTGGACAGGGAAAGCCTATCGAACTCTGGGAGTTTTGCAGAAGCATCAAGGAAAAATATGGGGTGAAGTGAGATTATTCATTTAATTATGATCATTGTTGATATAATTATGACCCATATATTGAGAACCCCCCCTCCCCCCTTGTTGTTTTCAAGATTAGAAATATAATTATGAGGAAAAGAATGCAGATATGTCTATGCCTGGCATACAGCACTAGGTTACTGGGGAGGGGTAAGTCCAACATCGAAGGAAATGAAGAAATACATAGCCAAGATCATTTATCCAGTTCAGTCACCTGGTAACTTGAGTCATGTCGTTTGTGGCACTGTCCTCTGTGTAGAGAATTAAGGAGTCGCATTTATTGAACCCTCGAGAATTCGCAACTTTTACAACGATTTCCACCGCTACCTCACAAGTTGCGGTGTCGATGGAGTGAAGGTAGATGATCAGAATCTATTAGAAACTCTTGGTTCTGGTTATGGAGGCCGTGTTGCCTTGACCAGAGAATTCTTAGGAGCTCTCGAGGAATCAGTGATCAATAATTTCAAGGATATCAGCTTGATCAGCTCCATGTGCATGAGCACAGATTACTTATACAGGTTTGTCTTCTCTTTATGAGAAGCAACATGTAGCAGACAACATGAGTTAAAATGACTCCTATTTTGTACAGTGCAAAGAAGGTTGCTGTTGCTAGAGTATCCGAGGATTTCATGCCAACAGAGCCAACATTTCAGATGATGCACATTGCTGGCATTGCCTATGCATGTCTTCTAGCGGGAGAAATAATTGTGCCAGATTGGGACATGTTTCATGTAAGATGGCTTCTGCTCGTAACATTGAAATTTCCCCAGCATTTTGACAAATAAGTGTTGCCTTATTTGCATTAGAGACATTCAAAAGCAAGTTTCAATCATACTAGTGAGGATCTAAGCTGACTTTCTGCGTTCGTCTCAGAGCAATCACTATATGGCCAAATTCCATGCTGCGGCAAGAGCAATAGGCGGATGTGCAGTATATGTCAGGTGGCTATTAAACATTCATGTCAACGATATTCTCCATAGAGAAATTTTTGCCTGAAAAGAAGCTTATACGCTTCTTTCTTGAAACTGGTAATACAGTGACAAGCCAGGTGAACATGACTTTGATGTCATCAAGAGATTAGTAGTGCCTGATGGATCTATCTTAAGAGCGAGATATGCTGGTCGACCTACCCGAAATTGCTTGTTCAGTGACCCTGTAACAGATGGGTGGAGGTGAAAATCATCCAGAAAAATACACAATTTTTATTTATTTATTTATTTCCATTTTGAAATTGATTATTTGCCATCTATTAACTACCCTGAATTGGGAGATTGCGGTTTGATGAAGAACTTGAACAAAATAACGGGCGTCCTGGGAGTTTTCAATTGCCAGAGAGGTGGAATTTGGCCACCTATAAGAGGTGCTCCATACAATCCACCTTCAGAATCTGAACCCTTCGTCATATCGGGCACTGTTAGTCCTCGAGATGTCGAATTTCTGGGCAGGGTTGCAGGAGAAGACTGGCTTGGAGACTGCGCAGTCTACTCATATACTATAGGTTCCACCTACAAGTTGAGCTTCAGATACTGTTAGATAAGTTTCTTTTTCCGTGAATTAGTTTTCTGAAAATCAACTACATTGTACTGTAGGGGTACTGTCAAGAATGCCAAAGAAAGGAAGGCTTGAAGTGACCTTAGGATTCTAGGATTTGAAGTATTTACGGTGTCTCCTATAAGGGTCAGTTATTCTTGCAGGGCTTCCCTTGAAAGCAAATCTTTTGCATATTCACATGTCTTAATCATTGGAGTAGGGATATATCAGCCTGACTTATGTGATATCCATTTTCTGCAAAACAGGTATTTGACGAGAAATATCAATTCGCTCCACTCGGGTTATTGGACATGTACAACTCTGGTGGAGCAGTTGAAGTAATGAACAGCTCCCTTGACTCATCTGGACGTAAGATCGAGATTCGGGTGCGAGGGTGCGGACAGTTCGGTGCCTACTCCAATTCAAAACAGAGGTCATGTAGTGTTGATCCGAAGGAAGAAGTTTTTGGGTACAATGCCGAAAACGGGATGCTAACCATAACTCTTCCACAGGAATGCACCTTGAGAACTATTGCTTTTGTGTAATAGTCAGCTTTTGCAAATGTGTGGTTTTGGACAATGCAGAACATGTTTTATCATGAATCTGTTGCCATGTGAATGAATATGGCTGGCTTGGAAGCCTTGGAGAAATTAGTATAGAGAAGATGAAATCTGCCCAAAGACATAAATATACAGTCAAAAAGATAAAGGGCTAAAATGAGATCAATCATGACCGGACTGATCTGCCTCTTCAATTTTGAAGTTTTACACCAGTTGTATGACTTGTCATCTCAACTTACAACAGCCCATCAAAGAACTAAAGAAAATTTCTTGAGATTTTTCTTCTTCCAATCAGGGAAGGAAAGAATGCAGGGACATCGTGAGTATATTGGCCGTGTCTAGTTTGTGTTGAAGGCTTGAAGCTGCAATTAGAAAAGCAAAACTCAAGGGGCTCCCTCAAGAGCAACAGAAGCCTCCAAAGTTGACTATCACCGAGCTATGATGAGTAGGAAGCTGAGGAAGGTAGCACAAACCAAAGCAACCAGTCCTTTCCCCCGGAAAACATCCTTGACCACATACACGGCGACGTCGGCAGTGATCTTCCTCCCTTGGAGAGCAAGGAACCGGCGACGCTTCCCCGAGACGGCGAGCAGCACCAGGACGGTGATCCACGTCATCAGCGTGGCCCGAGCCGCAACGACCAGCAACGCGGCTGTTAACAAGACCCCGGCGACCGGGAGAACGGAGGCGCACAGGGCTAACCAGCCAGTGTTGATGGAGACGGAGTACAGGAGAGCGTGGAAGAATATGAAGAACGAGAAGAGCAATGCCGTTCTCGTCATCTTGGTGTCGCGGAAGTCAATGTCCATCGAGATCATGTTGAAATGGATGCAACGGCTGCAGCGGCGGCGGTGGAGGAGGTGGTGGAGGTGGAGGAGGAGGAGGAGCTCCGTGTGGTGCTAGTGATTTGTAATGAAAGAGATTAAGGAGGATTGTTGAAGAGTTTGATTTGATTAAGTCTGAGACATGATTGAGGTGAGTGGGGGAAGGAATGGGGAGACATGTGCGCACATGGGGAGGTTGGCGACCAGCTTCTTTTTTATTTAGTGAAACACCTCTCGCCTTCCATGGGAGATGCGCGACTCATTCACTGTAAAGTTCTTCTTGCCCATGTTCAACGCTCCCTTCCCCCTCGTGTTGCGGTCTTCCTCCGCTCGCAACGGGAGGGCGGCCGACTTGGATCCCGGACCCTTATCTTCGAAGCTGGAGTAGGAAGAAATGATTCCTCTCCGCCACAGATGTCACGAGATCGGACCGGAGAGGTTGACTTCACCTTGTGTGCTAGAAAAACTTACGCTAAACCTCAGTCAGCAGGTTTGCAGTGCAAAATAAGTAGAGGCAAGATCACCGTACGATGAACAGAACCTCGCCAACATTTCGTGACTCGGAATGTATTTTCTTAGGGTTTCAACAACCGGTGGGGCCAAACCTTCCTACTCTGTGTTCACGATGAGGACCTTATAACTTTACTCCACAGCATTTCCTGCTAGGGATCAGCTTGTACATGAAGTTACATCATCCCGCACGAATTACATTTTTCTGATATAAACATTGATTGCGGAACCCATTTTCGCCGGCCACCGTCGCTTGTTTCTCCGTGAGAAAATCAGAAACAACTGAAATTACCGAATTGCGAAACCCGAAAAACAGTAGATGTCATCGGCCATCAGAGAAAATTTCATTACAAAAGATTCAATCTTTATGTGAAAAAAACGCTAGGAAAAGTATCTGCCCTAAAAACACCCTGAAACTTCCCGGCGACTTCGATTTACATCCATGAGATGATACTATCCAAAACGAATCATGCAGCGGCTTTTTGCGACCATTTGTTTCCTGCATAACCCCTCATTAAAATGTAACCCAAGGAGAGCAAAACTTCTGAGCTTTCTCCATAGCTCAAGCTAGAGATATTAGAATAATCTGAAGCCTACATCTAACCTTTTCGCTCTTTCATCAGATCTCATGCTCATGCCATCACAAGAAGGCTTGTAACTCGGAGAATTCTTCAATCCCCTAATCATAGTTGCTGATCAAGATAGGGGTCCCTTGGAGTCCTGGGGGAGCCCAAATATCCAGAAACACTCCCCGAAACATCCGAAACAACATCTTTCAACCAAGAGGTGCTGCGTGTCAACCAACCAGTTTGTGCCGGTTCTTTCACCTCGAGCATGCTCCTCCTCTCTTCCTCCACCAGAGTGTCGAACCATCTCTTAGCCATGAATACCTTCACAGCTTCAACCCCCTCTTTGACAATTTCCACCGGGGGTATTACTAGGGGATTCTCGTCCAGATTAAGCTTGGCCAAGTTGTCAAGCCGACCAAAGGTGTCTGGAAGAGCATTAATCTGGTTGTTGCTTAGATCAAGCTCCTTGAGGTTTATCAAGTCCCCAAACGTGTCAGGAAGTTCTGTAAGGTCGCTAAAATTACTGCTCAGATTAAGAAACTCAAGGTTTGTCAATTTCCCAATAGCAGCTGGTAGTCCACGAAGCTCATTGAAGTGAGCATCCAAATGCCGCAAAGAGTACATTTCACAGACGGAAGTTGGTAACGAACGGATCTTGTTATATTGGATACAAATCCTCTGTAGATTGGGCAACTCATAACCAATGTTGGTTGGCAAGTAAGAGAGGTTGTTGAAACTCACATCCAGCTCCACCAATGATCTAAGGCAGGCAAGACAAAAATCAGACACTATGGCAAATACCATCGTAAACAATGTCAAGTTACATGCAGAAAGTTGACATTACCGGCAGTGACAGATACTGTCCGGTAAGGAAGCAAGTTTGTTGCTTGATACGTTGAGAATTTTAAGCTTCTGCAGCAGCCCAATTGAGTGCGGCAGAAAATCCAAGAGATTTGAGGAAACGTTAAGCTCCTCCAGATTTGCTAACCCAGCTATGGAGTCAGGAATGGTCTGCAGGCAATTGAGAAGTCAGAAATATCATCCAAAAAAACAGAAACCTAACACACCAAATGCACGTTGTTCAAAAGCTCATCTTTCTAGAATTTTCTTCCTTCCAAGCAGGGATTCCAGAGCTGTAGTTAATGTCTCAATATTGCTTGGTCATAAGAGACATGTTACACACAATATGTTCTCATGGACGCTTTATGCAATCAAAAATTGATAGTCTCTGTGTGTGGAGAAAGTGATGATTCCTTTCTAAGTTGCAAAAGAATCGGGAATATTATGTTGTTGTAAAAAAAGATGGTTCCTCTACTTATTATGGCTCAAGCATGCATACAAAGGAGGAAGGGAGAAAGATGTACCCAGTGCAAATTACAAGCATCAAGGTGGATTTTACTGCTGTAACAGAATAGATGAAGTCATCAATTCCTATTTAACATTCGTGCTAGAGCCCCAATAACTGGGGTCAATCGTCTGCAGCTCACTCTTGCCTCAAGCAATTAAAGGGTCAATGACTCAATGCATGAGAATAATGAGGGTGCAGTTTGTCAAGTCCTTGGTACATAACTAGGCGTCATCTTGGCAAGTGAATATAAACAACATGCGCCAAATATCATAGGATAGAGAACAAAGAGGCATAACAAAAGAGGATGTCTTCATTGGTAAGCCATCCATTCAACAAGGCAGTTCTGGCACACAGTACACATAATATCCGATTCAGGGAAGAAAGTACCATTTGGCTAATCTACACGGATCTTAGCCCCTGCGAACAAAATCTATGAGCAATTCATATAAACAGAAACGAATATTGGCTTTAACCACACTAACCACCGCAGAAGTGCTCCGCAACCAACACAAGCAATCAACTATTGATTCATTAGAGTAGATATCCGATGATTTTTCAATTGGACAAAGCAGCAAAGCCAGCCACCCAGACAACACAATTTACAAGTTAACATCTAACAAAAATTCATTCTGGCTACATTATTTCCCTCTAAACTCCCAAGTCCCAAACAATCTCTCAAGAAGCTTTTATCACGAAAGAAACGACACAACTTACGATTTGTATGCCAGAATTCAATCTCAAATTTGCATACAGTGGTGCCTAAACACCAATAGTAACTTCAGAACCTGAAAGCAAAGAAAGGAACAGAATAGACTCAATCCACAGATTGCACTCAAGAAACATGCGCAATGTTCTTTCGAGCGGAATCGACAGAGGGTGTAAGAATGAGCACTGGCAACATCTTCCATTTAGCACACGGACATATTAAGCACAAACATTATCAACAAAACAAGGCCAATGAATCACCACCCATTCACCAAACGAACCTCAAGCTGATTATTTGACAAATTAAGCACGACCAATCCGACAATCTGCCCGAACGCCTCCGGCAGGATCCGCAACCTCCTCCCGGACAAATCAACCCTGTCCAAGCCTCCGTTCCCATTCCCCGTCCCCTCCTGCAGTATCCCCACGACCTCCTCGTTCACCTCCTCCGCCACATTCAAATCGCACTCCCCATCGTTCTGTACGACGACGGCAGAGTCGTACATCTTCACCAGCCTATCCTCCGCCTCCCTCAACATCCTCGCGTACGCCTCGTGCATCTCGTCGAGCGAGATCACCGCCCTGTGCGCGCTCCTCTCCCTCTCCGCCGCCTCGCGGCACTCCCTCTCCTTCTCCGCCAGGTGCGCCCGCCACTCGAGCCGGTCGACGTCGGGCGGGCGCGGGGACAGCACGATCGCCTCGAGCCGCTTCGACAGGGCGGACTCGACCTCCGCCAGCCTCGCCCGGGCATTGTCGACGGCCTCGTGGTCGGGGCGGTCGCCGAGGGTCTTGAGCACGGATCGGGTCTGGGCGACGTCGGCGACGGCGCTGGCCATGGAGGCCAGGAGCTTGGGGTGGGCGAGGTGGGGCATCTGGTCGGTGATCCGGGGCGGAAGCGGCGGCGACGAGGACGACGACGAGGAGGAGGAGAGGTCGGGCGGCGGAGGAGGCTGCTCGATGTCGAAGGCGTCGGAGGGGGCGGGTGGAGGGGTGAAGCGGGGGCCGATGGAGGGGAGGCGGGCCATGACGTAGGAGAGGACCGGGTGGGTCTTCGGGTTCGGGTCCATCGTCGGCGGCGGCGGCAGCGGGGGGCAAGGAGGTTTTTGGGCGGCCAGTTCGTGGCGGACACGAAGGTGCGATGGTGGCTGGTTATGGAGGAAGAGATATATAGAGAGAGAGAGAGAGACAGAGGGTTTTAAGTACGAAGAAGAAGGCGAAAAGGGGGGCGTGGCTACGGGGGGAAAGTTCGGTAACCACGTTTCTAAAACCAATGACTTGCCCTCGAGAAATGCTTCGTCGGCGCCACGTCTGCATATCGAGCTCCTTCCCCTTCTTTGGGAAATTTCTTATCCATCCGTTGTCGAGGTCAACTAATCGAAATTGGACCGGCAAATGGGTGGGTGGGATGGGACCGAAAATGGTTTGCTTCGAATCAACACATTTTAATCCATTTTGATTCGTTTTCACGCGATGCAAATTTAATGACTCATACCTAACTCATGCTCGACCCGACGTATTTTGATAAAATACTTATATATTTAACCAAATCTATGAAAACGCGTAGCCAAACTTAGGTGAGAGCACAGAGTAAGTGATTGAGTGAGGATAAGAGAGAGTCGTAGAGATATGTTGGGTTCGAGTAAGTTGTGAACCTATTTAACACACATTATTTTAAGTTTTAACATTTTAAATCCATTTATGACCCAATTATCAAATATGACTAACCCATACATCAAATATATTACCCATTTTGACAAGTCTATTTATCACCCACGCGATTCTTTTAATCATTGTTATTCTCATTATGAATTTTCTTAATTTCCCCTTTTTTTTTTGCACATCACATTTCCGTATGATTCGATGCGTGATAATAAGAGATGATTTCAAAATAACGACGTGAAGTGGAGACACTATTCTCACATAAGAGCTCGAAGTCACCAGCCGGCTTGCTTTGACGGGATAAAGCCAGGGCAATTTTGTCCGAAATTTACAGCCGGATAAGAAAACGAGCTAAAATGATGAAAATCGAAAACCCCAAATTGAACTCTGATCAAATCGAAAATCGAAGGCAAATTTTCTCTTCCTTCCTATATAGCTCCATATTATGTTCTTCCATGAATTCCACTTTGAATCTCATGTTAATATCTTTTGCGGTTTGAATTTTTTGTTCCTATAATCTCATATGTGGACTCTTTACATACCACATGTGGTATCTCCCGTCTTTTCTCCAACATGGATGGGCCACGTCTGCTTTCGGGAAAAATGAAGTGTCTGATTTTCTGACAATGGCAATTGGTCTTGTTTTTATTGTTTTTAATGTTTATAGTACTGTCGGATGGAGATCATGCTGTTCATCAATCATCAAACTGAAGCGAAGGATTTGGCTTGGATTGCTCATGGTCCCACTGGAGAAGATGACCAAAAGATCACTTCCCTTCCCCTGCCCCTCCCCTTTCCCTCAGCCAATCTTTGAGCTGATGCTCTTGTTGATCCTTTGAAGGCGATGGACCCCATGGGATATGGAGATATCTCTCTCCTCTGTTCGACGTTGACAGATTCTTGTCCTTGCTCTTCTTTTCAGGTAGATAATGCCCGCCAAGTTGCTTATGATAGGACGAGTGATAAGGCCCCGTGGATAAGAGCAGCACGACATGCTTATCGCCGACCTTTCTCTAAGGTCAAGCCCAGGACATCTTGTCACGCAACGTCGGTAATCTTTAAAAGCTCGTGTACCTAGTCGACGTTATCCCTTGTTTTCTGTGCGCTATCAGAGACCGGCGAGTACGCGGGGTTTTCAGAACATGGTACGAAATGATACGGGGATCTTTCCGCTCCTCCTGATTTGGATTGAATTTGGCCATGTTCGATTCGTCAAACGAACGCGTTGAACGAACAAGACAGGTGGTAGCAAGTTGCGGGTACGGCAGGGACTGCAGTCTAGGAAAACAATCCTATTGATCAAGACAAAACTGAACCAGACGGTGTAACATTCGAATACGTTCAATGTGAATACAGGATCGCACTGCAGAGCAAAACGACAATCGCCATAGACGCCGCCCGGAAAATGGTGAGAAGAGCGGACATATTGCAACATACCGAGCTAGAGCATGACCAAGTCAGCTGTTGATACAGTGATAATCTCAAGAGTTCGGGTACCTGTCAACGCAGACTAAAGAAGACGTGTTGCTAAGAGAGTTTCTCTCTCTACTAGCTCAAAAATGTCCTTTAATCTCTGGGACAATTTGCTGGTTATGTTGCGAGTAATCCTGTGCTGGAACTTGGTGCTTTTGAGCCAGATGATGTGAATATAGACGTCGCACTTGCAGGAGCTGTGATCTTGGCCTGATTTCTCGATCTGGTATGTTAACCGCACCTGCGAATACAACAAAATAAAATTTTCAGGCTTATGAGACAAGATGTTAGCTAGCCAAGCAGCTCATGGTAAATCAATGGCAGGAGACTATGACAGAGAAGCTCAATGAAAGGCTTTGAGTGTCCAAAAGAGGGTGATTGATCCCAAAAAAGAATGGAAAAAATAGGAACTAAGACGTACTCGATAAAACTCTTCAAATGGGATATTGTGGAGGGCCATGACCTCGTTTACTGTCCACCCATCATCAGTAGAAACTTTTTGCTGCGTGCTGGTGACTTCCACTCCGAATATCGAAACGTAGCGATTGAATTTGCACGACACTGAGCGCTCGAAGGTACCGGGCTTCGCAGGTTCCCATTCAGTAGCTGAATAGTTAAGGCAACCGGATTTTTCCATGATTCGATACTCCTTCTTCCCTCCACCAAATAGTTCCATCAAGGAGCTCATCTGCACGTCGCTCGAAATGTCATCCAATGGAGTCGTCCAAGCAGCCAGAAACACTTCAGGAAAAAAAAATGTTCTTGATCTCTCCATTAGTTGGCGAGTGAATTTACGGACTGGTTTGGTTTGACTTGAAAAGGACATGGAATGAGGCAGGAAGCAGGAACAGATTATTCCAGATTCCACTTTCGCAGAATTATGTGTACTTTATGGGGACAATTATGAAAAGAAAAGAAGAAAAAAGACGTTGGTCCCAGGCATTGGAAACACACATCATGGCCAGCATTTCTATCCCGAATAACGAGTTGCAGTCAACAATTCAACAAAGGTGAAACAACCAGTACAGATAGAACACCTGAGTACTCAATTTTACATGATATAGGGCCTTATGAATTTCATAGGAATTCACTTTTTGTCGTCCCAAGATCCACGGTTCGAACAATTTGACATCTCTCGGTTCATAAAAGGGGGATGTTACAATGCAATTCTACAAAGCGGAATTGGGAACGAATTGTCTGCTTACCTCAATAGGGAGTTCAGCAGAGTAGATTTTGGACATGTCTGCATCTTCCGTATCCAGAATCGTCGCTGCATCATCCAACACAGTAGAGCTTTCTTGATCATGCTGCTCTTTGGCAATCTGCTCTGTCTGCTCGGGCGTCAGAGCTCGAGTCCGCCACAGGGCCACAATTGTCCTAGCCACCGAAAATCATGATTGATCACCTTCCACTTCCAGTAATCGAATTCATTTAGGGAAGTACAATGTGACACCAATACCTGCTGGCTAAATTAAACGATACAAATGATTGAAAATGGAATTTAAGCCTGCCTTCTTCATCTTGAGACTTTGCACCGTGCCTCGCATCCATACCTCGACCCTTACGCAAAAGGATGACGAGGGATGGACTACCCACAGAACCGAACGAGGGGGGAAGCACTTGAATATCTTCAATGTCTTCCCAAAGAAAGAAAAACCTGGTTTTATGACCAAATAAATTGGCGTAAAACCCGACAATCCTTGAAGATAGGAAAAGGCGGCCCTACATAATCATTTGTACAAAATCTAAGCTAGGCGTACTTGTTTATGGGACAAACATCATGCAGGAAGACAATGATAAGCTAATTGAACGTACTGGCCCCAAAATAAAAGGAGAAGATACTGGCCACCAAATCAGATAAACTAACACAACAACACCATGCATATGAGCCCACGTCATTCAGGACTGACATTAGTCACAAAGCAATGCTCAAAAAGTTCCTTATGTTTGGTAAATGTAGCTCTTTTTTTCACTAGCATTTATGTCTAGTTTGTTGGTCGAGCCAATAATTCACTATGAGATTCTAATTATTTGTGTTGCTTTACAAATCTTTTCTGCTCTTTTGGCATATTGCCATTCAATTGCAACTTACAAGAATCCAAACATAAAAAAGGTTAGAAGCCACATCAAGAGTAACTATTATGCTCAGAATAACCAATTGCAGTAAACGGTACAAGCACTAACAACAGATGTGATTAAACCTGTAAAGGCAATTTTCTCTTGAGTGAACAGGCAAAATCACTGATGAGAAACTCGTCCGGTGGCAACTTGAACAGTTTCTGGAATGTAGAATTTCTGTGAGGTGACCTGAGACTCAACTGCGCGTGCCACGAATCGAATTAATGACATGTCATTATCACCATCCTGAACAAACCATTGCCAAAACTAGAGTCTCAACAATGCCTACCTTCTTTCCCACTTCCTTCTCCATCTTTGTTAGATACTCCTTAATCGTTTCTACTCCATTGTTGTTGTCCAAAAAGATTCTCAGGTGCAGCTTCGACTGAGCAGACTGAGCCAGCTTGCCCTCGAGGAAGATCCACATATCCGCGAGATCAGTGGATGTATGTTTCAAAAAATTAATCTCAGCGTGTCCCAGAGAAGTGGCCTGATCAAATGGACCATCAAAATCAAAAACCTCCACATCCAAAACTGAAGGTGGTTCTTCCATAGCATCAAACTCCACTATTTCTGCAAAATATGCATCCAAAGGCCTTATTGTTAGCCCGTGATATGATGGAAACACAAATAGACCTGTACAATATAGGGTCTCACCATTCCATTGAGGATCGCAAGTTTGGAGCTTAACAGAACTCGTCTTTGTTCTACCATTGCATGTGAAAACTACATATGGATCAGAATATCCCGTTGAAGCCAAGGATGCCATGTTCGCCGCTTCTATCAAAGCTATAGTAAGAATCCATCCATCACCTTGGGCCTTGACGCCATGATCGCTACCTAA